TGTATTGTATTGTGTTTTTATGGAAGTAAATGTATGCTGTTTAAAAACCTCGCGATTGCTGAACAAGAAAACGACACACTCTCTTCTCATTTGACGAACGGGTAGAGGAAGATCCGACAGAGGAGTACACGCCTCTTGCAAAAGGACTAAAACTTGTCATGAACTAGCCTCATTTCGTCAAACAAAAGTTCGTACCATATCTCCATTGCCATCAAGTACCACAAAAAGAGAATGAAACTGAAGGTTGATCTCACTGCAAAACACTCGACACCCTCAACAATAAATGCCATTTGCACAAACGGTTTGCGAGAAGGTCTACATCGATGCAGTCAAAAGGCCGTTAAAACTTCTACGGGTGTAATGTTCCGCTGTAAAGTCTGATGAACGAAGATGGAATCAACCACAGTGATGCAGAGATCTTTGCAAAACTTTGGACCACAGGTGTCTGCGGTGAGGATCGAACTTGCTGTTACCCTTTCCGGGGGCTAAGGCGTTCATCGTCACACCATGCGGGTCCTTCATTTTGCACTTCTCTGGGCTAGTTTTGTAGTTACCCGTGCTATGAGTATTCACCCGTCAGCGGGATTGATCTTGGAAGCACCTGCCGTCCTGAGTTTTGCAAATATCTCAGCATCATCGAAGTTGTATTCTACATAATACCTTGCCGTGAAAAATCTGAGTAGGCAGTAGATAAAAAAAGAACATGGAGTCACCGGAACACCTCGTAATAATATGAAATTGATAAAGCAAATGTCATTGTAAATTAACTTCCATTTAACCTCGGTATAAACGATCAGTGTACCTTGTACCTTATTTCATTGATAGGTTAATATTAACAGATATCTATTCGCCTAACGTTTTGACGCCTTTGTCTTCCTATGAATCCATGATCCGAGCCGATGGTCTACAGTTGTTCGTCTTTTCGATGTGGCGTCATCGCCTTCGCATCGAGTGTTCTTCAGTGGGGCATCGCTAGAACTTGGCAACCTCACCCGATGATACTCTTTTATACTGAATAGTTGTTGTTGATAACGATTGTCCCGTAATAATAATTTGTTTTTCCCAGACAACGCTTCCTGCAGAAGTCGCTGTCATTATTAGCTAGCACAGAGGATAACCATATTTCAATTTTCTATGAATGCCTTAACTACGACTGTCATAGGTTCGGTTTGTTCACAGAGTATGGACTCGACCAACATTTACAAAGCATTCATTAGGAAGAATAAAGGTCATCAAGCAACAGCCGAATCAACACGAAAATCCCAAGTCTGTCGTAGATGATGACGAACAAACAAGTCGAATGGAAGAAATTCTAGCATCCACACAATATATGTGAAGACTGCGGTTCAGAGATTTGCAAAAATGGCAAGATCATTGTGGTTATGTGAACAGTGATCATGTAAACAAAATTTGTCAATAATGAATCCGTTGAATTTAATTAAAGGGTAAGGATGCTAATAGGATGAAGCATATCTCTCCTTTCAACTACGTACTCCAATGCTTATGGGAACTACGCAGAAACAGGATGAGATGGCACCTCGAAAAATGAGAAGATTATGAGATGCATCGAGGTCAGGATGAATACCGAGTTTCAGTCTTGCGGAAACAAAATGAGTCGGCAGTCTTTGAACGGTTCCATTACTTAGGCTCTTAATTTTCTAAGTCTCCATGTTATTATGAACCAGCGCTCTCTTCGACGTCTCTAAGGCACACAGGAGTTTTTCGCTCTGGTCCAACAACTTCCACTACTTCGTACCCAGCATTTGTGTCAGGCAAACCAAAATCATAGTTGAGTATTGCGGATGCTAACGGCGTCATTGAGATGGTGATATTCGAATTACCGTTAGTGCTCAATTCGTTTTCTATTTCTTGTAGAATCCTATCCACTTCATCCACATCAAGTACTGGTAATCTAGAAATAACTGAAGTTCGTTTTCATGTGTAAATGGAAAAGCTTCGTGCAAAAGTCACCTAACATCGATTCATCAACATTACAACAACTATTAATGAATACTTCAAGAACTCACGCATCATCAAAGACTCGATCGTGTAGGGAAAAGCTGTAGTCAACTGGATGCTGAGTAGCTGTGGCAGATTCGTAGCACTGAGTAATTTCCTCCAACGGAGATGTCTGTTCCGCGGCCATCTTCGTATTTTGCTGGCACCGCTTAGGCGTTTTAAGGGGGATTTTGGTCGATCAGACGTGTAAAGACATATTTTTGAAAAGTCGACAAAACGTTGGGATGTTATAACCTGTCCGTCCACTGCGATCATGGAAAATTCACGTTAAACATTGTCTGAAGAAGACACTGAAGAGGACAACATTTGACGGGATCAGAATGTTTATTAAAAAGCCACACATAGAAATACTTTTGTTAATGTTGTTTACAAAATCTCTTCATATTGAAGTTTTAAACCTTTCAAAAAGGATTTTAGAATACACTTTAAATCCCGATACGGCTCAGCGACAAATGGGAATTCCTGCGTGGAACGTGAAGCAAGAAATTTTGGTGGAGGAAGGAATCTAGTGGAAATCACTAAAAGCTTTAGTAGGTGATCATCATGCTGCTACTGTATTAAGTATATCCGTAATTAACTCAATGGTTTATGGGTTGAAGCGTGATAAAACAAATCAGCTTACTTCTAAAATCTCATAGATCCCCGAACAATTTCGATGTTTAGATATTTTGCGGTTCCTATCTCTGAGCAATGTCTATCTTACATTAATAGCGATGGAAGGCCAAAATAAAGTTGCACATTAGCTGCACGTCGAGGACAGATGGCATCCAGACCAATCGAGAACAATATCTCAGCTGAACTGAAAATACTACAGCCACTCTCACTAAAGTCATGATTTTATCAATCACATAGTATTGTGGGCGCGTGTAATGCAGTGTAAGAGACGCCCTGGAATACACATGGGGTCAGTTCCAGCGTCCCAGATTCACTAACACTAAGCTCTCCATTCCTCCGGGATTGGCAAAGTGGTACCAGACTTGTCTGAAAAGAATGGCAGCATTGACTCGATACATCGGTAGGCCACCGCGAGTCATTATAAAAGCCAGATATGCATTCAATTACCTCCAAACGATGCTCAATGAAGTCGAATGCATGACGCATCCCAAAGGGATTCATCGACGCCGAGAGCTTCATCATTTGTCCTTTATATCCGCTAGAGGAATGTCTGCTGCTGTACTCAATGTTTGTAATTGTAATGAGTAATTTCTCAACAAAGACCCACCAATCTCAGCTCGCCACTGCTTCATCAATGGTTTATCATCTTATCATAACTTGGTTGTGTTCGTAGGGGTGATAATGTAGTATGTAGCCGCAGTTGGCTCATCACCGTTCGTAACCATCCAAGCTGAGAATTTTACATTTACATTAGGAAGCACATTTACATTAGGAAGCACATGTAAAGGTCTATTGAACGACAGATCTCAGTGAGCTAATCCTGGGTACCTTCTCACTGAAACCAGTAAGACTAATATGTTTCATATTAATGTGAGATAGCTTCCTCAAGCAATCGTGATCAATGTTGGGCAGGACGTAAAGATTAACGAACTCTAGTTCGACTGATCCCCATTCGAGTTGCTAGACGTTCACGAAAATGAATTGTAGCATCGCTGCGCTTGCACTTCCTTCGTTCTACTTTCACGCTTCTTTGCTCGATATTACTTTTCTTAGCTCGGAATAAGGAGACTCGCTAGATCGCGTGTGGCTTGGACGTTAGGTCGAATGGTCAATCGCCAATGGTCAGAATTTTCCTCTAGTCACTCAGATATTTGGATGACCCGACTTCATGACTTCCCTACTTCAGCAAACTTCGTTGTACTTGACGAACTCATCACCACAAGCATTCGTTGGTCTAGAAGGGCGTTGTAACTGGAAAGGGGCTTTGATCTCTGTAGTTGGTATTTTTTTCATGACGGCAGTTATTCTTGGTGACGATTTACAACTTTCGATTAGAAATGCTGACCAGCTTCACAGCCTTAGTGCTCTAAGGAGAGATGAACTCTTTACTGCATGTAAACGTTTGAACTTAGGTAGGAAAATATAAGCGTACACATTGATAGGCCACTGCGAGTCATTGGAAAGGCCAGATATGCATTCAATCACCTCCAACGATACTTAATGAAGTCGAATGCATGGCGCATCCCTCAGGGATTGATCAACGCCGAGAGATTTATCCTTCATCTTTTATAATACCTCTTACATTGCTATATAGAATGGTGGATGGTTCGAAAAGAAAAGCGCTGTCAAGATTTTCCTCCTGGTTAGAACCAATTTTTCCAAACACATTGCTAGCGATAAAAAGGTCCCGGTTATCCTACCCTTCATCTCAATGATGTAAATGCAGCTATAAAACGCTGCTTAAAAAGGGCGGGTCTGGAGAATTCGGTAAACGTAGTTGAAACACTAGCGAGTACTCTTAGGCGCCAGTTAGTTCGTAACCGCCTATATGACCGTCTATGAGCAACGCAAAATTGCATAATTTGCCCCAATGGTAGAGATGGTGATTGCATGAGCTCGGGTATAGTTTATCTGATCTCTTGTAAGACGTGCGGTGACGAATACATTGGCGAAACGGGTAGACCCCTCTGTGTCCGCATAAAAGAACACCTAGTCGGCAAACGTCAACCAAATACCTCACTAGGCACTCATAGGATCCAGAGACATAACGGGGACAACTTTGAAGTACGGATCGCGACCTTCGCGCAGGAATCGAGAGCACAAACGCTCAAAACTCTCGAGGCGTTCTGGATTAATTCCATAAACCCGAAAATGAACAGCAGGGAAGAACGCCTCATTATCAGGCGTGATATTGGGCAGTATATAAGGCTATTATTCTCATGGCATGAGCACATTACGATTCATGTGAATTCTGTGCGGTTGGTCTCCACGCGACATACTCAATAGAGGAGTCATAGAAAGCGGTGAGTGTACAAAGAAGCTATTCTCTGTTCAATGTGATTGAAATCTTGGTTTAGCGTTTTCTCTGTTTGGTTATGGTGTTTGGCCAAATAGATTGCTGTCAAGTTAACCTTTCCAGGCTCTGAGGAAGCCCAAGTCCGCCAAAACGTCAGCTTGTTCGTGAATAAGGAATAAAACAACACCTCGCGCTTGCTCAAAAAGAATGCGAAGACATTACTACTTCCCATGACCGACTTTCTGTTAACCTCGGCATTAATTGATAATTCAATGTTTTTCATCAATAAGCAGACACGAGGTTGTTAATATAGAAAATTCAAAAATGAACCGCAAGGAGGAGTGTCTTGTCATCACGCGTGACCTAGCGCCATACCTCAGGCTGATCCAATGATCTGACATGGACCCAGTTATCGACCATGTATTACTCTGTGCGGCGGCTATCCACCAACTAACTTAAATACTTACAACAAATAAACGGTAGGTGTTTGAATGAAGCTGTTTCTTATGCGAATACAAATCGATTTATCAAGTTTTATCTGCTAGGGTTATGAAAGTGTTTGGCTGAGTAGATCGCATCTCAATTTGACCTTTCCAGGCTCTGAAGAAGGCGAAACCGCCGAAACGTCAGCCATTGTGTTCTAATAAATTCTATATTAACAACCTCGTGTCTGCTTATTGATGAAAAACATTGACATTACTACTCATCACGCAGTGGGGTTACCACTACGGGTGATTAACAATGGGCAGAATTTGTATCAGCAACGCTATCCTTAGGATGTTTTCAGATCTATCTGTGCTAGGACTTACAAGCTCCTTGACTCATAACGATTAACATCGGGCAATATGTTTGTCCTTTTTTTTAGAAAGACGGTTTTTAGGTGTTATTTCTTCCCCATGTCTAACAGTAAAATCTCCAACATAAGCAGACTATTTAAAATATCTGTTCAAAGAAGCTTTATCTCTAGTAAAACAATCTCTAAGCATTTATATCTCGAATTAAAATCTTAATTAACACTGAGTTATACACCTAGTTCCGTACGGCTGACCCCTCTAACCGACGCCTAATTTTTCGCTGCACTTGCTGCGAATTGAAGTGAACTCATACCGTCTTCTGTGCCCGCCCATAAGCCACATGTACCATCCTCCTTGCCAAAAGTCTGTGTAACTACAGAAACAAATAAATTTGAATTCGCGTAAGAAACAGCTTCATTTAAACACCTACCGTTTATTCGTTGTATTTCAGTGAGTTGGTGAATAGCAGCCGCACAGAGTAATACATGGGCTATAACTGTGCATGTGTCAGACCATTGGATTAACCTGAGGTATGAAGCCAGGCCACGTGATGACAAGACGCTCCTTCTTGCAGTTCATTTTTGATTTTCGGAATTGATCCAAAACGCTTCAAGAGTTTTACGCACTGATGTTTTCGATTCGTGCGTGAGGATAGTGACTCCTACTTCAAAATTTTCTTCCTTGTGTTCCTGCATCCTGTGCGCTCCTAGTGGAGTGTTTGGTTTTAATCTAGATTTACCGACTAGGCGTTCTTTTATGCGGACGCGGAGCGGTCTACCCATTTCGCCAACGTACTTGTCCCCGCACGCTTTCCAATCGTGTATTCACCGTCTCTACCGTTAGGGTAAATTATGCAGCTTTTCGATGTACACAGACGGTTATACAGGCGGTTGCGAACTAGCTGGCGTCTCAGAGTGCCCGATGGTATTTCTATCACTCTTACGGAATTCTCTAGACCGGCCCTTATTAAGGAACGTTTTATGCTTTCACTGTCGTTACACCATGATTCTCAGCAACAACAGTCGCTCTCGCCTCACGCACAAATATGTCCGAGATACGCCCTTTACTTTATTAGGTGTAGAAAATAACTTTGTCCAACTAGACGTCCGAATTAGCGGTTTTATTGAGAACGCTGACGATTAAGTGCAAAAACCACAGCGAGAACCTTATGTAGATAAAATAAACTACAAGCAAAACAATGATGGCAAATCACACAAGCTGATCTGCTCCATCCCTCTATCGGTGAGACGAACCCACATCCGACTCAAAGCATTAGTCTGGAAACCCTTTTACGTCAAATAGTGAACATTTCAAAAACCTTCTAACTCTCGATCATTGGTTTATCAACAAGAATCTTATGGAGTAACGTTGGACGCCTATGCTAGGTTAATCCATAACTTCTTAATTAATAATTTCGAAATTTAAAACGTGAACGACTGTCGAGTGCTACTGAATAGAACAAGGAACTACAGTTTACTCACTGTTTATTTTCATAATCAAATACAAACGAGTATGAAAGGATTTGGTTTTGTATGAAGGTATTTAAAAATGCACAACGAACTCATTTAGAACGCACCGAAAGATAGTATTTGTACAGTCTGGAACCGTGTTAACTTTTATACATCACAAACAGCAAGTACACCTCTAGAAGAAATGACAACAGAAATTCAGTTCGTAGCGGGTAGATAGCATAGTGGTAGTGATGCCGGTCCTCACAAGCTTCGTACTGGTTCGATCCCGCTCAGAGCTCAGAAGCCTCCCTTCCCTCATGGGTCGGAAAACTGGTCAAGATGAAATGAAAATCCTCAAGCAACAGCCGAAGCCACACGTAAAAGTTGGAAGACCTTAGTTGATGATGGATGCGAGGAAACGAATCGAATGTGAGAAGTGCTGGGATCCATACAGCACGCGTGATGATGGTTCATATAAACAAAATAAAATAAATTCAATTAGTATCTAACGTAAATACTAGTTGAGTTAAAATATATCTAACAAGTTGTATGATTTCAACAAGAATTGACGAATATATATTCAAGCACGTAACATATTTTACGGATATGCTACACAAGACAAGAGGCATTTCTTTGGGAAGTGCTGAATTTAAAAGTGAGTGCTTTGGATAATCCTGGAAATTATGGTCCTGCATCATTCTTTGAGGGCCTGCTGGATGAAGTTCAAAATACTAGCGTCGAGATATGCAGCACCATCTGATGAGCGAATACCGTGTCTTTCTGATGGGAAAAGCTGCAAATTTATGACCCAACTACACGAATACGTAGGGTGGAAAAATTATACAATTCCATTGACGTCGGAAGTGACAATAGTTAAAAAAATATCACTGTGCTGACAATACCTGTAACTGGTAAGGCTTTCCAGCCTTAATTAGTTGCTCAATAAGTGCCTCAGTATGACGGAAGTGGACATTTTCATCCAGAAGACCGTGCACAATGAGCAATCTACCAGGTCTGAAACATTTTGGGCTTACGTGGAAAAACCTCTTCCGGCCACACGCTCATGATCGAACTCAAGAGTAGTGATGGAGCTGTAGGGTATTTAGGCCTGAAATATACTCGACTCACTGGTCAGGTAACTTGTCTACGTGCTTGATGACGGAAGATTCTTCATAGAATGGATCGCGGTCTTCTCCGTAACCCAGATACCGTTCTGTGTATGCTGTATCGTACAATTTCCAGTCAGTAACAGCCCCTCCTGCTATTGCAGCACGAAAAATCTAAAATTGATCCAACCCTTGCATCCTCCACAAAATGAAAAAGACGACACAAAACGGTAGCTGCAATGGATGATGTTAGAGAAAAAAGCACACCACTAAACTATAAATCTAGCATAAATAAGGTCTTTCTTGTCCTGACCTTCATTTCCAACGAAGTAAGCAAAGCTATAAAACGTTGTTTAAAAACTGTCGGCCTAGAGAAATCGGTAGAAGCGACTGAGATACTACCGAACACTCTCAGACGCGAGCTAGTTTGTAACCGCTTGTATGACCGCTTAGGAGAGATGCACAGCTCCATAATTTGCACTAACGTTTGAGACGGCAATTGTATAAATTCGGATGCAATGCATCTGATCTCTTGTAAAGCGTGCGTGGAGGAATATATTGGCGAAACTGGTAGAGCACTCCGCGTCCGTGTAAAAGGGCACTACTTGGGAAACTTAAAGTCATTCAGAACACTTCACCAGGTACACAAAGGACTCGAAGGTATAACGAAGATTTGGAAACCCTTGAAACTTAAATGAAAAGTCACCATCCTAGCATAAGAATCCAAAACATCAGCGCGCAAAACTCTTGAAGCGTTTAGATTAATTCCAAAAACCTAAAAATGATTCGCAGCCAGGAACACCTTGTGATGACACGTAATCTCGCCCTATGCTTCCAGTTAATTTTGTGACCTGAGCCAGGCAGATTCCTCATCCATGCAAGACTCCGTGAGGCGCTCTCCAACAATAACTATAGGACATACAAAGAATAAAATGGTGGTCATTCTTCCATTGATAACAAATCTCTCAGCTAGTTTTCTATCTACCAGTTGACGGGTGATTTATGATGGCACTGGTTCACATAATAGCATCCCGTGAAAAATTGTGATAGGCAGTAAATAAAAAGTTAACAATGTGATTTCGATGTACTCCCCAGATCATTTCCGTTGGCCGGTGACTGTTTATGACACTGGTAGATAGAAAACTAGCTGAGAGAAACGCAAAACGAACGATCCTCATGTTGTGCTGGTAACGCGTTAGCCAGGAGTCATAACGTGTTCGTACCCTACCGCAGACACCTCGGGCACGGCGTTTACCAAATATCTCAGAATCATTGTGGTTGCATTTCACTGATTCGCTGTTCTAGCTAATATAACACTAACCGCTTCAGGAGGAATTGTCCGTTAGAAAACAAATTATTATCAACAAACAATCATAATCAACAACAAGGTGGCTTCCCGATGAAAAAATACATGCTGATTGGTCATGCTGACGTTAAAAAGGCGGTTTTTGAAAAACAGTGAGTGTCTACAAGAAGCTGTCTACTACACGAATGAAATTTATGTATTGAGTGGTTTTTGACTTTGTTATGAAAGCGTTTGGCTGAGTAGACTATGTGTCAATTTAACTCTTCTAGGCTCTAGAAAAGGTGAAACCGCCAAAACAGCAGCCATTATTGAATAAAACTTGTTACTGATAACTTCCTGTCTGCACAGAAAGAGATCACTAAGTTACTGAACAATGTCGAGGTAAATAGTGGATCCTAATCAATTAATCCTGAATCAATGTTGGAAAGTAAGAAAAGTGTCAAAAGAAGGTGAAAACGAATTACTTGAGGATACTTAGCAAGAGCGAGTAATGACATATAGCCACCATAGCTCCAGCCCTGTACGACCACCCTTGTCAGATCTAACATTCCGTCCATAATCTGCGCCACTTCTCGTAATCCTTCCACCTGATCCTCTACTTCACATTGTCCCTAGATAAAATGGTCACTTAAGCACACATGCACACTCGTTTATCGATCCACTCACAAGCTTTCCGAAAATAGGAAATTCAAAGTCGGTGCCTCGATTACTTGACCCACGACCATCGAGCATAACAACAACAAATCCCAGCTTAGTATATTTTTGAAATGGAATCCACCTGCAAAGGAGATAAAATTTGCAAATCAATCGCAAATTCGGCATTTGCAGTTAGAATCTACCTACTGCATAAATCTCTGAGTCATTAACTCATAAGGGACGAACCCGGTTTAGTGTGGCTCTCCGAGTGGTACACGATGAATTTCTCATCGGCTTCGGACATTACGGTTTTTTGACGAGGAAGAAAAATTCTCAACAACTACAAGATTTTAGGGGTTGTGAACACGACACAATTGTACAAGAGACTTCGCTCTTTCGTTTGATGGGTATGAACTAATGATCCACTATGGAAACACTTTGCTGGCAGTATTTCGAAGTGTTTTGCACCTATGTTGAGTCCATTTCGGTGTTTTGTATGCCAACAATCTAAACAGTACCCCTGGTGATTAAAATGGAATAAGAGCAGGCTCTTGGCTAAATTACTTGTCAATGAACTTTTTTGGAAAAAGTTATTTTGTGGGCCACTACCTGTGGAAAATGGCTTTTCTAGTCTTAGTCCTACTGTTTTGATCCGCTTTCGAGTGTATATATAGTATACGTAGTGCTGTTAAAAAGTTTTAAAGTGCATTAAACTGAAAATGGACACTATAGTGTCCATATAATCCCTGATCCAAACGCATATGGACACTACCTTATCCATACCGGGTATTGTGGGTTAGTATAGGAGTGTAAAAGCATTAAAATTACAGCAAAAAAACTCAACATAAACGATAAATTGCGGAATTTTATGTGATTGAAGGAGAAAAAGATAACACATAGTCATAAGAAAACATGATGAACCTATAGATGATTGAGATAATTATGGCTAAATAAAGGATACCACCCAACGGTTTACCGTCTCATCGTAGCTGGTACGTGTTCCTGTGTGCCATGCTGTGATTTACAGCGGGGAGGATTCATACCCCTGGCATGGTATATCAAGATGAGAAGTCCGGCGTTTCCATCAGGAAGCCTAGCTAAGAGTAAACCAATACCAGGATCCGTCACCGTTCTGGTATCAAACCAGTCGCATAGTGGCAAGTCTCCCTTTGATCCACAACAGCTGCGACTGCCTGTGGTGGTGACGATGTGGGGCAGACATTGGCCAGGCTGGTCTAGGATTCCAGGGAACCACAATGACTTAACCAGGAAATCTCCGAAATAATAGAGATCATGTTGGGGTCCGCACAACCAGTGAGGACGGAGCCTCCAAATATGCAAGTGTGCACAAATAAAGCATAAAAGGACAAAGCTCTTGCTGTCGATGAGTCCTTGAGTGATACTCCATGCATTGGCCTTCACCAAGCATCGTTAGAGGTGATTTAATCCATATCTGGTAATAACAATGACTGGCGCTGGTCTACCATTGTATCGAGCCAGTGCTGCTATCCTCCCAGACAAGTCTGGCACTAATTTGCAAATCCCGGAGGGATGGAAGGCTTGGTGAACTTGGGGCGCGAGATCGAACCTATACGTATTGCAGAAGACCTCTAAAAACTGCGCTATACGCGCCCCTTATAGCTAAACAGTATGATAAATTGTGCAATTTTCACAATTTTTGAGATAAATGTTTTCCAACAGATATTTCAAGCTTCATCTTATTAGAGGTTTTATTTTGAAAGTAATGAACATATTGGATTTTTTCTTTGTAGTTCCACACCAATATAGCGTTCTTCACCCTTATGTTTGGAAGAGAAACACTTTGCACATTATCTTACGAAAGTCCTTGACAAGTTCACACCAAGTTGTGAACATGTAGTTTGATGTTGGGTGGGTAACATTTCGTTTTTTCGGCGACCTCGCCTTCTTCAGAGCCCAGACGTATTGTTGTGTGATCTTTTCCCTATTGTTCGTTGAGTACTTTACAGCATTAATTGAAATATAGTGTCCATATTAAACTACCAAACCTTTGTCAAATAATCGCATTTTGTTCACGTAGGAGGATTAACGATGCTTTATCTTAGATTCGTTTCCCGATCTGTGTGAGTTTGATTCATCATTCTATCTGAATAACAAACATACGAGTGGTCTAACTCTTTAGAAAACGAAAGCAGTGAGCGCTTCTGTACAGATTACGATATGGTCTACAGGTTAGAATTTCATTAGGACTACAAAGTGTTCACCCAATAATAAGGATATAACTATACCTATAAGCTCTGAAGAAGGCAAAATCAGCGAAGCGTCAGCCACGGAAGATAAAAACACGTCTTGACAACCTTATGTCAGCTCATCAAAGACAATTCACAGGACAAAATATGATGTCTACTAATACCGATGTTAACTAAAAGTCGGCTTCTCGAATTTTACACCTTCGGGGAAGAACTTTAACACTAACGTGCTGTAGTCATTTCGAACAAGCTGTATTCCAGGACCACCATAAATGTAGTGCAACACAGGGTAACACCGGTTTGTCTCGTAATTAGACGGTCTCATTACCATAGCATAGCGCCGAGTGGATCTGTAATAAAGCAATTCATAAATTACTCTCTTGTTTGTAAATTTTACTCCAAACCCAATATTCACACGTTTTTAATTTTCATTTTACATGAACTGTCGTTAAATCTACTGTGCGAATCCTAACACTTCTTGCATTCGACTAGGTTTTGCTCGCATTTATCGTCCTCCAAAGTTTTCCAACTTTTATTATATAGATCCCACCGCTGCTCGAAAAGTGTTGCCCTCATTACAAATGTTGCTAAGTTCTAATTGAATAGAATCTCCTTGCAATCTTGGAGATAGCCTGGTTAAGGCGATCCCATGTGGATTGGAGGAAAGCGTTGGAGCGGGTGTAGAACTAGAGTCCATGCTTTCTGATCGACGGCATCATTAACCAATACGCTATCTCCGATTTTAAAAAACATAGATTATCAACACTTTTAGGAAATTATGACGCTAGGTTACAAATCGGGAATCCCCGACTAAATGTCCTTTGAGAATCAAGAAACAAAGTCAACTTTGTTACTAAATCACCAGCATATAGGAAACAAACCAGGTTTGGAAAGTCTAAAAATAAAACCCTAAGAAATGAATCAATAAATAACAAAAATGCAGACCTTGACAGATATTCAACGATAACTGGGAGATCATTGATCTGTACACAGGGCGGGATAGTGTAACCAGGTAAGCCAATCTTAAAAAAGGATGTTGTTTCCCTAATGGCCAAATTTGTCACAATGATAAAGAAGTTTAAAGAAAAAAGGATTCTTTGCAAGATAAAAAATTAAAATTCCTCAAGACCTCTGGAAGACAGTTAAGGTGATGCAATGTATAATTAGCAAAATGGATACACTTATTTTGAAGAGACCTGTGCAACAAGGGTAGCCGTAGGTAGTGTAGAACCATTTGAAAACACCAAGGAATAATAACAACATTGTGGTGGCTGGCTGAGTGATGTCATCCAACATGCAAAACCCATTGATGGGGACAAACATAGTTGATGGCAGGCTCGTTCAGTCCTAAAAACCAAACTGTATTATACAACGTGCGAGAGAAGCGCGTGTGGCGCAGTGGTCAGAGGCGCCCTGCAATATACATGGAATCGATCCCCAAGCCCCCGACCCACTAAGCCTACATCGATAGGCCACCGCTAGTCATTGTAAAGGCCAGATATGCATTCAATCACCTCCAAACGATGCTTAAGGAAGTCGAATACGTGGCGCATGCCTCAGGGATTGGTCAACGCCGAGAGCCTTAGCAATTTACGAGAAAAGCCGTATATCTTACTTGAAGGATGTTCCACTCTCAGTCAATCGTCGCATTCCTTGTACTGATTCGCTGTAACTCGATACACATCTAAACGAAAGAGCATAAAATTTCGGAATGCTTCGACGTCCCATGTAGATATCTTTCGAATTGATGCTTTAGTACTTCATTGGGAAGGTCGCAATGCTATTGAAGCTGATTTACGTTTGAAAATGCATGATTTTGACATAAGATTGAGCAGAACAGACATTATCCCTCCAAAACATTAAATCACTTCACGTAATTTGTTTAATAAAACAAGTACAGCCAGTCCTCGGGCAGACTATGGTCAGGCTGACCTCGGGATTCTTGGGAACCACATTAACCAGCAAATCTTCGAAAAATGGTGATTATGCTGGAGCAGGCACAACCAGTGAAGACGGGCCGTTCAAATACCAAGTCAAGTATCAAGTAAGTACAGCCAGCGTGATGATTTTCACCAAAACAATTTGTTAACAATCTGGAACCGACATACTTCAATACAGGATCGCTTTCAAGAGCATGCAAACAAATTCATTCACAAAATTCGCACTTACACGCTCCATTCTGTTGGATGACCAACATTGGCGATGTAGTAAACAAGCTGGCGGTCCTTGTCAAGAACGACATTCGTTGCTTTACATACCGAAAAATCTCCCTCAGTAACAACTCGCTCACGAAGGCCCACAATTTCATGGCTGTAATACTTGCACTGGGTCGGAAACAAGCGAACAAATACAACTAAAGAATATGAGAAGTTACTACAAGCCCTTTTAAACTCTTTATTTTTACGACATGAAGAGATATCACGTAATGTATGTGTCAAAGCCTTTCAATTTGATTCGTTTCCTCGCATTCGTCCTCCACGAAGTTATCCTATTTTACGTGGCTCCTGTTTGAATGTTTTAGTTTTCTCTATAAATTTTACTGTATGCAAGTAGAATAGATTCTCCATAGGATAATGTAGTAGTTCTGATAGGCGTTCTCAGGTCTTCATTGCAAATAGTCGTTAGCCTTTGCAGAACTGAAGGGCTCTCCAAAGACAGTTGTTGCCATACCAACAACTTTATAATTTCATACGGAAGGAAATTTTTGCACCGAGATGGAGTTGAACCAGTGGCCTTGCACGTGCTTCCCGCATCACTACCCATGATGTCACATGTATTTTTTATTTTTAAAAGCTCAAAATATAAAAAGATGTCGGCCCCTCTAGACCATAAATGAACTGACTTGACAACGCTCGCGCTTATTACGTAAAGGTGACACTGCGATTGTTGCTCACTTGCGTAAATGAATTCGATCGTAGAAATGTTACTGTCCAGAGGTACAATTGAGTTATGCGTCTGAAAGATGAAGAGTGCCAGTCTCATTATCCAATTAACAACTACTTGGTTGTTCAGAAACTCACGTTGATCCACGCACTTGATACTTCATTCTTAACAATACTTGCGTTAAGAATGGGGCCTGTGGATCTGAAACCTTCGAATTCGGATTCTGGCAGTAGAATCAGGGAAGCCTGTGACTGAGTGCGATTCAATACTTGAACCCATACTCTGCAAACGTTGAAATTATGTGGTTTCTCCGCAAAAAACTTCATAGCCTACGTTTTGCCATCGTTGAGAAAACCAGCACGAGCTATGTACTCTACCCATGGAAATCGGGATTTCAGAGGCTCCTTCAGTCCGCAGTCGACAACCTTAAACAAGAAAATGAACCTATAACCGAGACAAGCAACTCGAAAGTGACCCGAGAAACCGACAGCATTGCCATCAATCATGATAATACGCAGCTGAGATATAGCGTTATCCGTGCCAGCAACGGGATATTTCATTGGAGGAGCTGCTTCTCGTCCTGGACAGACAAACATTAATGAGCGCACTGAAGTCTCATCAACTCGTTCATATAATAACCTAGAAAAATAGTATTAGCAGGCCTAAAAGTCCCAATAGGATTCATGTTGAAAACACTAAAAGGTTTTGATCTCGAAAAATCGACTACTTAGACTCCTAATTTAAAACAACTGCAAAATAGTGACAATTTTGCTACTACGCCAGATCAAAATAAAAGAAAAAGAACATTAGATTACATCGATTATATCCCACCTGGTACTCGTTGGACTCCACCAAACAGCCTGGAATCTATCCAACTCTTCTTGAGTTATGAAAGCTGACACACCATTAGAGACATTTGGATCCGAATTGGGCGTCTTGTATATTATGGAACTATCGCGCTCAATGTGGATCTGAAATCCATTTTTATTGCTCTGAATAGATGATGAATTATCCATGCACAGTTCCATGCTTAAATTTAGAAAAATCCAATTGTTCAAAACGTTATTTTCCTGACAACATAAATAACCGCTGACCTGCTTGTTCACCACATACGACACAAGCCTTGAGTCACAAGGGCAGAACTGTGTATCGAACACAAAGTCTGAAGGTGATGAATCACTCAGCTTGTCTTGTATTTCCACAGGTGAAAGGATTCCATTAGCATATCTATAAATGATCATAGTTCGCTCCAATTCACGAGGAATAATCATTGGCAAAAGTTCGATAGAAGCTCGAAGGATAAAGCTCTTGGCGTTGATCAATCCCTGAGGAATGCGCCATGCATTCGACTTCATTAAGTATCGTTGGAGGTGACTGAGTGCATATGTGGCGTTTACAATGACTTGCTGTGGCATGCCGATGTATGGAGCTAGTGCTGCTATCCTCCCAGACAAGTCCGGCACCAACTTGCCGACCCTAGAGGGATTGAAGACCTGGTGACGCCTGGGCGCGGGGATCGATTCCCGTGTCTATTGCAGCACGCCTCTGACCGCTGCGCTACACGCGGCGTTCAGAAGCTCGACAACAATAAGAAGACGTACCGAAAAACCTGTTCACCAGTAGTGAACATTAAAGTCGATCCATCTTTATCTAGCATATAGTCGGTCACTCCACTAACAACCGTAGCACGTTGCCTCTCGCACATTAGTGAGAACTCGACACTTGGAGTTGCAGACCTTCAGCAATTACATATTAAATAATTTCCGAGCTAAAGAAACAAACATATACGTTTTCACCATCAAGCTTTGCTCTGTTAATCGATTTAGCACAGAACTCTTAAAGTGATCACGTCCTATTATATCGCTCACGAAAAAAAAACTATTGACTGCCAGCTATTATGCCCACTCCAAAACGGTTTTTTGCTTGATGTAACATACAAAGTCAAAAAAGACTATTTAAGAGTAAAGATTATGTAATAGATCCACTTAACCCGTGCAACACAAAACCCCAAATGGAGTCGTTAAGGAGAACATTAATGTATCATCTAAAATTTTGTGCTTGAAGATATACTTAAAGTATTGAAATTAGGATTAGACCACGACCAAAAGTGTAATATACGAAATATAATAGAAACCACAGACAAATTTCGCTACGCGCAAACCAGGTTGGGTGAAATTGTATAGCACTCCCAACAATCGAATAGAAATCCATCGCAAGATAACATGAGAGGCTGGTGAGGTGTTTGTGGAGTATTCTCAACAAGTGAATCGGAAGGATAGGAAGGCAGATCCATATTTGTACGGATTGCGAGCCGCCACTGTTCTAGATAGGACAACGGTACGCAAAGCTATTTAGTAGTCTGGTCCACTAATGTACTTTCTCTTTTAGAAATGTTAGAAATGCACCTTTCCTGCTTCAGCTCGAATGCAGTTGGGAGTGATGTTGTTTTACCTTAAAGTTGTGCTCCTATCCATTCTATTAATCACAACTTGAACTTCAGAGAGAGCAGTCTAAGATGGTTTTTTCCTAGCGGGATACGGGAAACATTGCAGTAAAAGTTTCGCCTTACCAATTCTGTATGAAGGCGAAAGAAGATAGAGTCCTGACTTCCGTTCATTAGGAATGATAGTAGAACATTATATTCTTACAAGTTTCCGCGGGATTTCGTAAGATTGGTTCTGTTTTTGTGTTGCTTCCAAAAAAATTTTCTTCAAAAAAATTTTCAGGAGGAAAAATTTAAAAAATGCGGTGTAAGTTCTTTTGTTATCGATCCTATCTTATCAAACCGATCTTCTATAAAGGGCATTTACTACTATCTCTGCTAGGTGTCCTACAACAGTAACAAGCCTCACTGTTCTCCACTTCACCAGAAACTACTTCATTATGGTGATGCCTTCAGAGCTTCTGAGGCCTCCTAACTACAACTTTTGAACCTTCGACAAGCAGACTTAGGTGATCACATTTTTACTCCCATTTGTCGCTGAATACCAACATCGTACTGCTGATACGCTATAACAACGTAGCATAGCAGAAAAGCTGTGAAGGGTGTATAAAACTTACTCTGGAGAACAGGAACTTCGACTGCTTCTCTTTATGGTTCCGGTAAACCGCTGAAAAAGATCTGCAACAATCTCTGGCATTCTACAACCCCAGCAACCTCGATCGAGAACAACCATTACATATCACTCCCTCCGAAATTCACCTCACAATCAGAAAGAAGAGTTCAGTCACAGTTCTTGTGCAAAAAGCATAGAAAAAAACAACAAAGGCAAGTTTTGCGTACGTTCTATTTGAGACTTGGAAAGCAACAAATGCAACTCCCACACGGCCGTCCTATCCAAGAAGCAAAACTGAAGGGGTCTTCACAACTAGCGCTTGATTTGAATGTCAAACGTGCTCCTGAAGCCCCTCAAAAATAGCCCGCTTGGATGACTATCGGTTGTAGGGAGAAATAAGAAGGAAATGGCATTTTCTCTTCGCATAAGATGTTCTAGATGAGCAAAATGAGTAGTGCCACAGAAAGTCTTTTCCCAACAATCCTGCCGCAAGAATGAGTGCAAAAAATGTTGTTTCCGCCCTCACATCAGACCTGAGCGATCCGACAGCAAAAAAAAAAAACAAAGCCAAGCATTGGTGATGAGAGGATCAATGAAAAGTGCAACGAACCTTCCAATAATGAGATAGCGATAATGTTAGCTCCTCCATTAATAATCATCACATAATCACAATGATGCTAAGAAAAACTCTGGACCGCAGGTGTCTGCGGTGGGGACCGAACCCCTTATTACTCTTTCCTGGGGCTAACGTATTCACCCGCATACCATGTGGGTCCTTCGTTTCGCCTTTTTCACAGCGGTGGCTTAACATATTCAACTCCAAGAGCTCTTATCTTTTATATTCCCATGGAAATTCAGTTTCCATCTATCTTTTAGAGAATAATGTTATAATGTCGGCAATTTTTACTTACTGCCTACTTCTTTACAAGTAATAGATAAATTGCTGTAAATAAAAAATGGCGACGTACTTTCGACTGCAGCCTAACTGGGTTCAATGTCAATTTGTACTCCCCAGATCAACCCCTTGACGGATGATTGTTGATAGCATCCATAGGTCAACAACACAATTGAGAGAAAGACGAAACGAAGGACTCACATGGTGCGGTGGTGAACGCGTCAACCCCCAGAAAATGTAATGGCATGTTTGGTGCACACCACAGACACCGCAGCCCGGAGTTTTGCAAATATCTCAGCATCATTGTGGCTGCATTTCGAATTGTGTTATATCCAAACTCGAAGATGTCATAAACAGCCGAAAAGACAAGCGAAATGACGAAAATAATAACGCGTATTTCTTTGGCTATATGCTTGACACTACTAGATAACCTCACTTGAACTGATCTATGTTGAACATGGGCTCCAGCAAAATATTCGAAGACTCTCCATCCATGAGGATATGCGCGGCAAGAACTGTTTGATTTGAAGAACAAGCTGGCGTTCCCAAAGCATATCTACAACAAACCGATCCTTCTGGAAACTCTAAACCAAAAACTAAAAAACGATAGCTGAAATTTTATAAGCCGACTACCCTTAAACCTCTGCGCGACATATCAATATGTATTCTTTCATTGACAACCTAACACGAGGTTGACAAAAATGCCTTGTTCGGCTAACGTTTCGACGTCTTCGTCTTCCTCAGAGCCGATCTCCATGTGGTATCTTCGTTTTAGTATCGAGCCGAATCTTCTCCGGTGGACCACAGCTCAAATAAGGCAATCTCCCCCAGCAATGATCTTTTATTCAGCACGATTGCTGATGATGCTGATTTGTAACAGTATTGATAATATTAACAGTACTGGATTGATATAACAGGAAATTATTAGATATATTATTATAAACATGTTGTTTTGAAGTTTCGTTATGCTCTGTGCTAGCTGATAATAATATCGACTTTTGTAACACGGATTGTCCGGAAAAAACAACTCGTTATCCCCGGACAGCACTATTACCAACATCCATCGTCCTGTATTAAAGAGCATCACCACGTGAAGTTGTTTCATTTGAGCGGTGCTTCACTGAAGAAGATTCGACTCGATACGATGACGAAGACATCACATCGAGGAGACGAACGACTATGTACCATCGACTCGGATCATCGGCTACAAGGTGAACAAAGACGTCGAAGCACTAGCCCAATAGACCTTTTCTTTATCAACCTCGTGTTCGCATACCAATGAAGGAGTGCAATAGATAACCTCAAAATTTCACTTGGAGCAAGTGGAGTGCTTCATCGTCTTCTGAGACCTCAAACGAACACTCTAAAGTTAACAATGAACCTCCTCTTCAGGGAAACCAAATACTCATGTGTCGCACTAAATACTGATATGCCAAAATGAAGGAACGTTATTCCATAAGTTAGAAATAACTAATTATTAAGACCCAAGTTCTGCAAAATACTTAATTAACAGCACTTAACGCTCACAGCTTGCATCCGTTTTTTGTCGGTACAATGGACATCTTAGAAAATGGCAGCGTTAACCAAGAACGGATTTCAGCCCTCAAGAGTTTCGCGTGTGCTACCAGTTGGTGCCACGGCACATTCGGAGTTGGCGACCTTTCCAATGGTGCCATCTGGATTTCACGAATACAATGTTTCTTTCACTTTCATTGCAACAGGAAATACACACAATCGCATATACAACATTTGAATACCAGTGTATTTCAAACTAACGGCAGATCGTCAGTAATTCGTGGTTCTAAAACTAACCAGTAAAGGTACAGAGGACTAGGCCAGAACCGTTGGTTAAAATGCGAGTAAACCTGGACAATTAATGTTTATTGACGGCTTATTGATAGTAGAAAGAGGGTGGGGCGAACTCTTCGTCACGCTCATCTCGTTGCTTTTGTATCCATGTATTGTATCGGCCTTTGCCTCGATCCCACTCTCTTTCAGGCTTTTGCTCTCGTAGCTGGAAAGCCATTATTAAGCACCAAATTCACAGCTTCAATGATCAATAGAACACACAATGTGAGGATATCCGGATAGAAACCACCTCTAAATTACTACACTATTAACTGGGAAAATACGGGCAAGCACAACTACCCAGATTTTTACCCTATCCTTAGATGCCTGGATGGCCTATCCTCAAGAGTTGTGCGAGTCGCAGCATAATCTCCACTTTTTCGGAGTTTTACTGGTTTAGCCATTGTGATTCCCTAGAGCTCCGAGGTAAGCTTAGCCGAAGTCTGCCCCATGCCCTCACCACCACAAGCAGTCGCCGCCCTTATTGATCGGAGGGAGATTCAACACCACACGACTGGACTAAAATTACGTTTTGTTAAATAACGCATCATAAAACGGAGTCCATCTTCGCGCAGGAACCTAATGCATCAAGCGGTCAGAACTCTTGAGTCACTTTGCATGAACACCAAGACACCAAAGATAAACCACAGAAAGGAATGCGCTGGTATCACGCGCTACGTAGTACAATGTCTTAGACTGCTTTTTTAACACAAGAGAGCACGTTAACCAGAAATGTAAACTTCGCACTGCTGGTCTTCATCAATAAGTGCAAGACTCATAGAAAACAGTGGCTGTCTAGTGACGCTTTCTCCAATACGAATGAATTTTAGGTTTCGAGTCTTTTTAATGAGATTAGTGAAGTACATTGCTGATTAGATGGCATGGCATATTAAGTTGACAGTCAGCGGCTCTGAAAAAAGCGAAACCCACCGAAACGCTATTTATCGGCAATAAACAATGAAATAACACCTTCTTAAGTGCTTATGAATGAAACCGTAAACTACTGATGAAAGCCGAGATTAATAAAAAGTTGGTGCTGAGAACAAAAGGCATGTGTCACGACGCTTTAACGAAAAGACAGCGTTTCTGGCACCTGGTTTGAATTTCCAGGTGAGTGCTTGTTTTCCCAATATAGCCTTGTTTAAAAGAGCATGTCTCAGTCATATAAGAAGAGTATTACTACATTCAGAAGAGATGAAAAAAACACAGGGAGGCGAAAAAACTAGAAGGACGACTTAACTCACTTGTAGGGGCTTCTCAATAGGCAGAGGTATCTCGCTAACGTCAACATCAGGTAACTCCGGCTCAGGTGAAGGCGTCCTTTCTTCTTCAAAATTATGATTTTGGAATAGTAACAAAGAAAAATCAATTCCTGCAGCTATCGTATATACAATGAAACCATAACTAGAGATTTTCTCCACATTTAAGACAACCTCATCAAATCTTAACACTGTCATACAAAGGAATGCATTCACCTGGCAAACCCTTTCTCCTCCGTAACGCGTTGAGTTTTTCTCTCCTAGCACGTGCCTTTTTCTCAGCCTCAGCCTTATTCTTTGCCCGCATTTTTTCTGTTTCGGCAGTCATGTCATAAAGCGATTTGATCTGTTCTTGTCTCTTTTCTTCCTCTGAGGCGAACTTCATGTGTGAGACACCATATACTCTTCTCTCTAAAAAGATCAACAGGATGTAGAAACAGAAATTGAGAGAAAAAAACGTATGATCTGACCTTCTTCTGGAACATAGTGTTCAATAACAGGAGCTCGTTCAGTGGGAGTACTAGAGGTAGATGGTTTTCCATCGATACAGCTGACCTTCGACAATTGGTTTTCTTGCCTTTCTTTCACTTTTGCGTTGAAGTCAACAAGAAACTCTACATCCAGGCCGTCACTGTTCTTCAGAACTAGGCTACCATCGGACAGCTTGTCATAGAGCTCTGTTTTTTCCTGGAAAGGAAACTCGTAGAAACGGATCCAGAATGTAAAACTCATGTATTAATCAGACCAAAGCCCACAAAATACAAACTTTACTTAGGATTTCAAAACTTCATGAAACCAGATACTGATCATCTACAAAGTTTAGCATTACAAAAAATTGGGCAGTAATTGGTTTCGTGGTGCTCCAACCTCCGGAAGCAACATCCTCATAGAGACAGAATCTAGGCGAGGTATGCTATTTCTAAACACAGTAATGCTGAGATATTTGTAAAACTCCGAACCGCAGGTGTCTGCGATGGAGATTAAACACGTTATTACTCTTATCGCAAGCTAACGCTAGTGGCACGATTGAACTGATAGATAGAAAAATAGCTGAGAGAAAGGCGGAACGAAAGTTCCGCATGGTGTCGTCGTGAACGCGTCAGCCCCCAGAAAGGGTAGTACCGTGTTCGTTTCCAATCGCAGACACCTGCGGTCCGGAGGTTTGCAAATATTTCAGCATCACTGTGGTTTCATCCCATTCCAAAGATCAACAATGAGGAGTCGAAAGCATGTTTCTACCAAGAAAATGGAACAAGCCTAAAGAACTTGAAAATATGGCGAACATATGAAGACAACAATACCTTGAGTTTCTTGGCGACTAGCGCAAGTCGCTCTTCTTCTTCCTTTTGCAGAGCTACTTCGTGTTCGCTAATTCGCTTTCTTCTCTCTTGTGACTCTTTCTTGAGCGAGACTTTTTCTTCTTTCTTCACTGCCAATACGCTCTAAAATCTATTCACGGATTTCAAGTAGGAAAAGAAAGAAAAGAAACTAAACTAAATCACCATAACTCACACTTTTCCCGGATCTGTAGGTCTCGCCGGTGGCTGACTTGACGATGTCATTCTTCTTTTTAATGTACTCACTCTTCAAATCGAATAATGAAGCGATTTCATTCGTATGCAGCTTCTTTGGTTCATACTTAGCTTTTGGCAACTCGTCGACTGCTTCTCCATCAGCTAGATTTTTTGCTATAGCTGATGATGCAAATGTGGCCATACCTGTAAAATATGCTAAGGCAAATGTAAGGCTCTAGATTGAATACAACGGGGAAGCCGTCAAATCCGTACGAATTGGCACCTTTCGCAACCAATTCCATTCAACGACTCTTAAAATGTACGTAATAAACTGTCGTAGTAAAGATTACAACATTTCCCAATTTAAACTGTAATGCCCTATCGTTTAAAAAAATGATAAATAGTGCAGGACGACTCAGCTCGCAAAAGTTTACTAAGAACACGGGAATCTATAGTGCAAGAGGGGAACTGTGATTACAGTAACTGACCTACACCAACTCCTCACCAACCACAAAGTACATACTACCACTATCGATCAAATGACACACTAGTGAACCCGCATTCGAAAAGCAAGGCAATAAATTTTCTACAGGAGCACCTCCATGGGTCATTGTGTTGCTCAAGTTTCCTTCTTCGCCCTCTTACGTAAACGAAACACAGCAGTTAGAATTAATGTCACATAAAGAGGAATGAAGGAATGTGTAACATTAGATACAGCGGAAAATGAATCAGCAAATATCGTCAGCCGACCATAGTTCTCGATGAAATGTCAAACAAATCAGGGCCGACCCGATGGTTAACGCGCTTCAATTGAGTTCAAGCGCTCTAATCCGGCTCAGTCAGAATTAGACTGCAAAAGACAGTCCTTTACTCGTAAGGATTGCAGAGGTCACGCCTTGCTCAGTGGTGAGGCGGGCGTCGTTGTCTGGTTCGTTTTGTACTGAATGAGTTGGTTGCACTTGTTTTGTAATATGTCTTCGTTTCTCATCTTAACAGTACGGTCCATTCAGTTGCTTACAGTTTGCAGATTGAGAATCTTGATGATTTTCATCTCAGAGGCATGGGGTGTGCGTGGATCTCTGGAGTCTTATTTTCTCTTCCTGTTCGAGCTTCTTCGAACACCAGGCATCATTTAAACAGAACTAGACATCGACTTGGGACGAGCTCATGCTGGACTCAAGTTTTGAACAGCTTAAAAACACCGCTGTCACATAAGGAGTCCTTGTCTATTTCCCCGTGTTAGAAACGATATGGATTTTGGAACGTCCTGATTCGAAAGAAAAAATCATATTGGAGAACGGGTCGAAATCTGCTCACGAATTTTTCCAGTTTTTTCTGAATTACCGCATCCATGAGAACTAGATGAGAGTGGTGTACTTACAACTTATCGATCAATAAATTGAAAAAACTAATCTTCGTGCAACCCTCGTCGCGAAATAACAGTTCAAAGGTATCCTTATTTGCTCTCGAAGTATTGCTTATTGATTTTCAGATGGCAGGAAGAGAAGATTATTTCGGCGCTGGTGGCGGCGCCCCTGGGCCTCGTGCAGGATATGGCGGTGGATACGGGGGCGGTCCTGGAGTGAGTAAAGTGTAGCTCTTTTTTTTTGTCACACGTGAGGTGTTTTATACCTCTAGGTGATCGATTAGTACGGGTCTACCTTTGTAAACAATGTTAAAAGTGGTTACTTGAAATGGAAACATGCGTGTGTATTTTTACTGGTAATCGGTGTCACTGCTTGGAGTCCGTGTAAGGAACCGTGGATGGTTTCTGGTCTACTGATGAGTCTGATCACTATTTGATAAGAAATTTATCATGTGGCGTAGATACATGTATACGTAAAGATTGCGTTGGGAAGCGTTACTTTTTTTTCGTTTTTATGAGTACGGGTCACTCGCTATTAAGCCAGGAATTTGCATGTAATGAGGATCTCATACCTCATTTCCTCGAAATCGCATTCTTTGCAAAGGATCTTGAAAGTCGTTCTTCGAACCCCTCTAGTATTTCAAAACGGTACAATAATGTGGACTGTTGATGAAGGTAGCGCTGATTTTAAGAGAATTTACTGAAGTTCATCTATAAGTTCATCGTTAGACAATGAACAATGCTTTTGATATGATAACTCAGAAGATCGACTTTCTATAAATCTCGGTATAAATAATATTTATTTTGCTATATTGTTATTTGCTTTTGTTACAATTGTGTTATCTTTTAGTATGATGGATTCGATGGTTACGGTGGACCAGCGGGCGGTTTTCCTGGTAGGATTTCTTCTGCACGTCTATCTTCATTACTCAGCCTTTTGTCCATGGCGTTTTAGGTGGAGGTTACGGTGGTGGCTACGGTGGCGGATATGGAGCTCCTCCTCCTTATGGTGGGCCAGGCTACGATGTCGCGCAAAGTCCGCTGGATGCTGAAGTTCAGGTGGGGCTGTCACCAATGTGAAGATCATTTGTGAAGAATGAAAATGATCAAGCACTTTAGGTTGTGATACGAGAAATCCACAATGAGATTGGTATGTTCGACGCTTCAGGGGAATATGGTGAACAGTTCAAGAATGCTCGCCGGCTTTTGGCAGCAGGTTAGAAATTTGACAGCTTAACTGAAGCGTAATATTTAATTTTTGTTTGACATGTATAGAAGCCGATAAGTTGGAAAACAACATTGATCCTGAATGGCTCGAAGTGGATATTCCGAAACCAATCAAGGTCACCAAAAAAGTTCTGATTCCAAACTTCCGTCATCCTAGGGTATCTTTTACACTTGTATAATTCTGGTGTTGCGATGTTTTAATAGTACCACTATTTCAGTTCAATTTTGTTGGAAAAATTCTTGGACCAAAGGGTGCATCACTGCAAGCTATGGCTAAGCAACATAAGTGCCACATTTATGTGTTGGGTCGCGGTTCCACAAAGGACAGAAATAAGGAACAAGAGCTTCTTAATTCTGGTGATCCACAGTATGCCCACTACGGTGGTCCACTTCATGTTAAGGTCTTTATGTTTATAATTTCATGGGATAAATTTCAATAACTGTATACCACTAATAAATCCTAATGGAAAAGTTTCAGGTCGAGACCATTGCTCCTGCTCACATTGCTTATCAGAGGGTTGCTGGAGTACTAGAGGAATTAAATCGTATTCTGCAACCGGTTAATTTTTTGTTTCCCTTAGCACATCCTTTGTTGTCATAATGTCGTACCTTTGATACTTAGATTGTGTTTAAACATACCAAACTTTCTCAGGTTCGTGAAGACACCACTCCTGGTCACCTTAAGGAAAGTGAAAACGGCAATGGTGGTCCTTCAGAAGGTGGCGAAGGCAAGGAAGGCGGTGTGTTTTACATTATGCATAGTGCATTCACACACCAAGCAATTTTTGCCATTAGCTTAATGTTCGCAAGCTCAGAAGGTGATAAGCAGCAAAATTCGTTTGCTGGGGGACGTGGTGGATTTGCTGATCGTGGTCGTGGAGGTCGTGGTGGCATTCGCGGTGGATTTCGCGGACGCGGAGGGCCTGCAGGAAGACCAAGAGGGTGAATAAAAAGTCATTGGTTCATCTTAGTTTCATCCGTGCTACATAATTCTTACTTCCAGGTTCAGACCCTATTGAGGAGGTGGAAAGTTGAGCCGTTATCGTGGCTGCTTTGTTTTTGTTGCTGTGTTGGCTCGCTCATCCGCTGGTCGTTTTCCAGGTTTGTTATTCCTGCACGTGACAGCTTGGTAGTTAAGCTCGTTAGGGGCGGAGAAAGTTCATGAAAACTTTGGACACGTAGAAATCGAGTGTAACTTGCCTCCCTCCTAACTACCATAGTTTCTGGTAATTGTTTATTTGTTTCGTTGCGTATGGTCAGAACGTACAGTACCCAGAACTATCATTGTTAATGGCTATCGTAATAAGATGCTGAAAGATTTTTAAGCGTAAAAGTGTTTTTTGAATAGAACAGTGGTTTCTGTGGCAAAACAGTGTTTACGGAATCTGGCGAATTACTAAAATGATTCGGCACAATATGTTGCTAATGAAAGTATTCTGTTCCCTTAAGAGTTTCTCGTTCCCTAATGCAACGAAATAAATAAATCGAGTTGACCACAAGTGCTTTCGATAGGTTATGGATTTTGACTGCTATATATATATATATATATATATATGATACTGTTGAATGCACTAGTGGATAAGTTCTTTATTATTAATGCTTAAAAATCGATTATACAATTGATAACATAAATACATGCCATATTTAGGATCCGTGACTTCCATGATAAAATAACGAAAATAAAAATCCAAAAATATATCCTAAAAATGCTGCGGGCGACTACATCGAGCGGACGAGCACTTAAATTTATTTTCCTCTAATCTCAAACATCGTGAAAAACATGTTAAATCGTATGTTATAACATAATGTGTTTGGATAACTATTATTTTGTAATCGGATCTCTTGATCAAGTAATTGAATTGCAATTTGTTCTTAAATACCGTAAAGTGAATAATAAACGTGTTGTGTTATTCGTGAAAATATACGTAAATTTTGCAGATGGATAAAAGGTGAGTTTCGAAAAAAGTGAAGTAAGCGTGAGATCATAAAAGATTCGAGGTGAAGACACTTTAGTTTAAGTACTTTATTACAAGGTCAGATGTTATTGAATTAGTTACAGACACTTTTTTCTTCGGACATCTGAAGGATGTTGCGGTGTCTTTTTTTGTATAAAATGGAAGCAGTAGATTTACGCATCCCTTTTTTTTTGCATCAATGAAAGTAGAAGAGCTTCAACTAGTTGTTTTAAAAATACTAACAAGAATAGTATTTAATCGATCATTTGTTGCCAGTGTTCCATTTAACCCAGAGCGTTCTCCCTTGTCCCCAAAAGAGGCGTCATGAGCGATGGAATTGTCGAAATAAGATTCGGTCTAATGATGAAGCGTGAACAAGTGGTTTTTTCTTACTGCGATTTTTTTGTCACTTGTAGCGATGCTCCTTTCTTGTACGTATGCATGGAAGCTGAAGATATGTCGTTAGAGAATATTACGTAGGTGGTTGCATAGAGATTAAACAGTCGCAAACATGCGAAGTTTGAATATCCGAGCCGTCTGTGCGAGAATTATTTCTTCAATATTGTCAAGTGTAGATGTTGGAACAGTGCGTTCATACTGAAGTGAAATCTGCTGTTATTTTGGAATGATCATAGGAATCTCATTTTATGCACTCGGTTTTGCAGAAGACCGTAGATACGACATGTTCCTAACACAAGATTTAACAGTGAGTAATAGGTGTATATGCAAAGTTGTCAGTTCCCATAGATGCAGTTGGATTGAACACAAATTTCTCGAAGAAAAAATTGCAAAAATTGAACGGAAGATGTCTAAGCTGAATAATCGGAAATCTGAGAAGAAACTTCAACACAAAACGCTAGGTTTGGGTATATATTGCTATCAGGGAAGTGAGTAGATGCTTAAAAAGCTTTGATATTAATTGGAACACTACTCAGTAAACTTCAGGGAGTTCCACTGCAAGATGTTACACACAGCTTTAAGGTAGGAGTTTAATTTTGGAGGATCAGCATTCAAGTGGTGCTTCGTGGTTTCGCTATCCAACGTAAACGTTGGAAACGTTGAGGGTTAATATAGATTATGCAGTGTGATAAAGGGCATGGTTACATATAACTAGAAAAAGTCGGTGACATTCGAAAGGATAAAGTGGTGTTCCATGCATGTTGTGTTTAGTACATGAAAATTGCGGTGAGAGTATGTAGCTTAGTTCAGAGCACACTGTAAAAAGAATTAGAAAATATTCATGATGGGATTTGTTTTTGAAGGAGTTTTCATTGGGCTGGCAAGTTTGCAACAGAAATCTGATTTCGCTTTATGTGCAAGTATTCCTTTCTTGTCTTTAATAAGATTGAGTGATCTTTTTACGACGATAGTAATATGGGATCTAGCTATCATGATAATGGTGTCTCAGAGTACTTGTGCTGGAAAATTTCAGGGATTCTCTAGGACGTTGGTTAACTTTATTCAAATGTGTAGCTGCTTCTTTCTGGGTGATTCAATGCTTGTTATTGTAGGCTTCAGTGCATTTCAAGCTAATTTATTTGAATTACGTGAAGTACAAAAGTGGTTGGATTGGCCTGAAATGTAAATGGTAGTCTTGGGCACGTTTCTTGAATTATTAGTTTCTACAAGATTCTTGGATTGTTTTTAAGAATGTTTTCCCTCGTTTTTCAGTACTCGCTTATTGGAATGCTTGCGAATTTTCCCATCCATTATGCATTATCGGAGGACAGTTGCTTTAAATACAAACTAAAATCTCACAACAAAAGTAGAATTCCATATTAAGCATAATGACTTTTCACAAGATGAAGAATGCTGGTTTCTTCGTTTCCTAATGCGACAAGTAATTTTGGCAATACGTTCTTTATAACCTCATGAACATGTAGTTACGTATCTTTTAGGTAACGAAGACTGGTACTAGTTGCTAGTTAAATGTAGGTACTCTTTCTCAGATGTTTTTTCAGCATCTGAGATTCAGTAATGAAGAACAGGAAATTGCTAAGTGTAAGCGTAATTTCGACAAGAAATTCAGTCCATGAAATTTGCTTAGGTTTTGTCCTGTTCAGTGTGTATTTCAGGAAGCATGGGGACAACGATTCCACAGAAGGTTATTGCACGTAAGATTTTTTTTTAAAGAACGTGTTTTTTGAAATTACAATGAACAACGGCTTCATAAATGAGTCTGCTTTTGTTATCACCTTAGACCGATCAGTAATGGTGGACATCGAATAGATTTGCCAAATACTATTGTTCAATAGGATTTTCAGCATTGTTCAATAGGATTTTCAGCGCTGCTTCATGACTTCAGGCAGTTCTTGTTTAGCAGAATTTGCACGTTTTCGCGCAGTCGCGAGCCATTGATTTTGGGGCAATTCTGAAAAAAAACTATGAATACCTCCATTAACCTGAAATGTTTTCTTTTTTATATCTGGTTTCTTTCCCGTAATAAAACGTGGTTCTAGCACTCAAATAGCTGATCTTTGTCCCTAGTCTCCGGACTTCGTTTTCGATTTATTTCAAGCAAAAAGGGACTAAATTTGTTGCAAGCTGTGCTCGCAGCTATTTAGGTACGTCTCGAGTGAGCTAGTTGAAGCAACACAATGTAAACGTGAAGTAGTTCTTTCGCATTGCTTAGTATAACGTCATATTAGTCATCAAATCTTAGCTTTTGCTTTTGATGTATTTAATTCTTCTTTCTGTAGGAGATTAACGGCAGACTCTATGAAGTATTGTATGAACTTTTACATACGGTCTCGTAAAAACTTACAAGCATAGATTGGCAGTGGCAGCGATCCAGCGGTTACAGCCTAATAATCTGTCTGAGCATCCATGACGTGTAGCGTTGACTTTTGTTTCTTTCACTAAAGTGTTAGCATTTATAAGATAAAAACTTTCTACTGACCGTTAGAAGCGTACGCACATATAGTCTAAAATTTATAATATTTATTAGGTTTTGCTATTTTAAAGTTAACTCGTCTTTTCATCTCTTGAGAACAGTGAAAAGTTTGCAAAATGTTGTGAAGAATTATTTTTAGACGAAAAGTTCATTGCGTCATTCATGCCAGTGTTCCACATTGGTGCATATAGTTGATGATTTTGTTTAAAGCTGCGTACTTACCACTTCTCTACTTTGAAGGCATCCATCTGTTCTTGCTAACTACTGTGAAATATCAACACAGTGGCTTTGCTTCCATCGGATACTTCGCTGATGCTGAGAGGACGCTTTGCAGAGGTTGGTCAGGTATGAAGCATGGCTTGTCATAGCTTATGCTAGTTACTTGTTTGAGGGCTTCATTCGAGAACTTTCCTTTACTTAAAAGCGTTCTTGAAGTATAAGATTCGGTCCTTTTTAAAGAAAATCGAAAGTGGTCCATTCTATCGCCTCATTGATGGTGATCTATCCACCATATTTTATGGTTTCTATTTCCGAGAATACCTTCATGATTCGTGATAGCCGTATGCTTTGCATTTATTAAATCTCTGTGGTATTATTTCTACTACATCAATATTTTAACTTCAGTGTTGTCATCCATCCAGGAAGTAGTGATTGAGTAGATCAACACATCCGTTGTGCGTTTATGTCCTGGATCAAACAAGAGCAGTAATCGAAAACCTCGTCAAAATGATTCTGCGTTGTCTGTGGCAATTAAACTGGGCTGTTCTACATTACATATATATGTATATATATGTATATATATATGTATACATATATATGTATATATATACATATATATTTGAAGATCGCTCATATTTCAAGTCAACAGTACATATATGCAGCCACATTGCTGTATTTATAAGTTTACCGAGATTGTGAAATCATATGTGGCTCCGAAGGGTAGCACAGTTTTTAGAGACGCCCTCGAATACACATGGGTTCGATCTAGCGCCCAAGGTTCACCAGGTCTTCGATCTCTCCAAGGTTGCCAAATTGGCGTCAGACACCAAATAGAGTCCTTTTGGTTGGTTTTGTATAGAGCGGTACATGAGCGGCATAAAATTTCCCACGAGAAAGCGGTAATAACATTATATACAGATGCGAATAGAACTGCAATTATTGTTATTTCGTGCCGTTGACTTTATTTTTTAATCACGTTTTTTAACCGTCATAGTATTGTCCAGAACTAGGTCATTTATCATCGGTTATCACATCAGACGACGAAACTACGGAGTAGTCGACTAGGAGAACAGTGCGGTTTGTTGAGACTCGCTTAGTTTTTGGATTAATGAGTTTCTCCAATATTCACGGATTATAATTGTTTGAAGGTAAGTGTAAAAATGAGGTCAATTCAGTGCAGTAAAATGTTTTAGCAAGACAGTTTACACGTATATGCGTTGCGACTAACTCAAGAATTCTCAGTGCATCAGCTTTTGTTGATCTGTCAGAAGAGCCTATCGTTTTTATGTTCAACGTAAAGTAGTCCAAACAGTATTATAACTAAGTGAAGAGTTAAAGCTCAGATGGCGGATTAATGCCATGATCTTTATTTGAGAAGTGTAGCTTTTGCTATATATACATTCATAGAAAGTAAACGTACATCGATTGGTTTTGTACTGTTTGAGGATTTCGTCAAGAACAACGCTGACACCTGCCCACGTCTCTTTCGCCGTTGGTATTAGCTGGCTTTTATCGAGTACGAAACCGTTCCAGTCTAAAAAAAATTCTTGTTCTTCTGAGGATTTCTCTTCCAAAGGAGTATGTGACAGAATTTGTGACGGAAAATTAGATACAGTTAGTTGTTCTAGGCCAAAATTAAACTCGGACAGGTCTAATCGTTATCATTATATATGCAGCATCATGTAACTTATCTCTTTACTGTGTATCTCTTGTTCATTTTACATTGAAGCGATGAATAGACTACTAAATGGTCATGTTTGTTTGTACATGCCAGATCCGTTTTATCCTCATACTTTCATCTTTATGGTCATTTGGCAATTTCGCCACGAAGCCTCATTTTCGCCAACAGGCGGTGATTTCTTCGTCAATTATAATGAAAGAGATGAGGAATTTGTAAGTTTATAAAAGAGGAAGGCATTACCAATCCATGTGAACTCTTTGTGGTTCGTCTCCAAGTGAAATACTCAGCGGAAGATTCTTAGGAAATGGCACTGAAGAAGACAGAATCCGCCAAAACATTAGCTTTTGTGAACAATGAGTGTGGTAACAACGTCCTATGTGCTTATCAAGAAAACAGCGAATTGTTGTAAAAGAAGCGTTATTACGTTTCAGTAAGGATATAAATATACATTGAAGGATAATAGGATAAAGCTCTTGGCGTAGGTCAGTGCTTGAGGGATGTACCATGCACTCGATTTCGTCGAATATTAGGGGTGATTGAGTTCATATACGGCTTATACAATGACTCACGGTGGCCTATTGGTGTATCAAAACAGTGGTACTATTCTACCAGACATAACTGGTAGCAGTCTGAAGACCACGGAGGGATAGAAACTTGATGAGCCTGCGGGGTGGAAATGATCTCATGTGTACCACTGGGCGCCTTTAACCACTCAGTCGCATTACATATATATACATATATATATATATATATATATATATATGCATGCATACATATGAGTATGGAATATTCCTTCAGCTTCAGATTTGTTAAAGAAGAATCGATGAATTGAAAACGAATAAACTATGAACATTTGAGATTTCCAACGCAAGATGGCGGGCGAGTGTACCAACGATTCAATAGGAAACATCGTCACATCCTGTTGGATCAAATTCCATTTGTTCATCTGATTTTGCGTTTCAAATACGTCTTGAATTAAAAAAAAGAGAAAAGTGCATTTTGTGGACCCACGAAATCAGAAGTTCATTGGGATAGAATAAGAGTAGTTGTACACTATAGGTAAAGCTGTGCAGGTTGTAATGGTAAAATTAATAAAATATGCAATACGGTATGTTGTGCTTGTTTAAAGTTAAAAGTGGCCGATATTTTCGCACTGACTCCATTTGAGGACTCGCTAATGTTTTAAGTCATTGATTGTTCTAGTGTCAGTCAATGAACATGGCGAAATAATATTTTTATAGGACGAGGAACATTGCTTGATGTGACCAATTTGTGGTGGTACTCTCCATTGTGGATGAGAAAAATTTAAAAGCTGTTGTTTCGTTAATTTATCAGTCTTCGATTTATGGAAACATTGGAAAGCGTTACAATCCGTGTGGAATTTTAACGAGTTTATCAAACTATCGAAATAGTGAATGTTTTATTTATGAAACCCTTGTCGTTTTTATTTGTGGATTGGGAACATGTCCGCTTGGTTCTGCAGAATCAATCGTATCATTATCACCTGGCACCTCGATAATCGTCAAGTGACTCAACCGGACACTTGAAAAGACATCTCTCTACTTTCTTCAGTTTAAGAGTTAGTCTTACGTGAACTGCCCAATGGATTCACCTCTTCGAGATACACATAAAAAGTTGTATTTTTCGTAACAGACGATTTATTCCCACTCTTTTTGAGTAACTCCTCGTGATCTGCCGTAGGAGCTTAGTATACTAATTTGCTGATTTTTTCTTAAGTAGTTATCGTAAAACACTTGTTCTTAAGTGGTTAACTTTAGAAGAGCAACCTTTGACTGCACTCCATGTACTTACCAGTTAAAGGAAATTGAACCGGTTTGACGTAGAAGGTACAGTCTGTGTGCACGCAAAAACGCACACATGCGTAAATATGGTTACTTATCTAATGAAAGTATTTTTGAATGGAACAACTATTGTTTAGAGGTGGTTCCTGTGACGCTGTAGTTAGCGCTTTAAAAACAGCTTTCGAAACAAGAAATGAACCGTGGAACTCCCATCTACAAGGTAGACCATTGTTGTTTTTCATGTCGTCAAAAGCAGAACTGTTTGTAGCCAATACGTTTTCAAGAAGCAAAGGTTTTGAAAGCATAGTTTGTGAAGCGTTAACACTGAAAAATATCACAACTTCATAAAAACGTACTTATGATACCTTGGTAGTTTGGGCGAAGCTCAATCGTATAGGAATACTTCACCTTGAGTGTTTCTGTTGCCCAGTCGGTTGATCCTCCAGAAAATGGGTCTGGAAGTGTTTTATGGATGAGCAAAAAACAAACAATGAAGTACAAGTGTAACAAAATTGATATTATCAGAGATGCAAGTTTTTGTCGATACTTCGTCTGTTAGAAACTGGTGAGAATTCATTCTTGTTTGATAAAGTGGTAAATGTTGTGCTTACAAATGACCTCCGGCCCTGTGCCATAACGATATTTTGTGCCATACATCTTCTCAAGTTCGTCAACAGCTTTCTTAGCAATCCGCTTCTAAAAGTTTCTTATAAGGTAATGTTCATAAATTTGTGAATGGGAATAACATACCGTTTCGTTAATGTCGTGTGCGTAGGTGAATTTTCGGTGCGAATAAGAGTAAATCCAGAGTTGCGAATATGCGTGCAAGGTTATATAGCCTTGGAGTCGGCCTTTCAGTGATAAGAGGAGATTCGAAAATGCTCTGTAGAAGAAAGGTGTGAGAGGATTTTAATTCTAAATGAATGATAAATCGGCTGAAATGGAGTTTAACATATTGACGTCAATACAGTAGTTGCCGTAAAAATATTTTTTCGCTTTTTCCTATGATTTCCTATTGTTCCATTCATTTATTGGTTGGGCCGACGTACTTCGTTTCTGGTTCGCTAAAAGCCATTGTACCATGGTAGATCTCCGAACAGGGATATTTAGATGATCCGATTTCTAAATGGAAAAGTTTTTAGCAGTCTTTTCCCTGCTTTAATGTGTCCTTTAATTCTAATTTTTTTTCAGAATGTATGATTGACCTGTTTAAGATGGAGTTCTGATATATGAAATGATATAATTGAAGGAAATACACGTAGTCTCAAGTCTAAGAGACTTTGACGAGCAAAATCCTGTTTAGCCCACCCGCGAAATGAAAATCAAAGTTTCTGTTAAGGTCAACACCACGACAGCAGCCGTTCGAGATACCATCGAACGCGCACGCCTTTGCCGACCTCGACTTACGCCACATACGTGCCTAAAATGAGTTATATTATTAATGAACCGTGTGGATGCAGTAAGTTTTTGAGCATTTTCTCGTAAGTGCCATCCCATGTAATTCTTTTATTAAATGATGCTTTTCGTTGCTGTATTGTTAGGAAACCATAGGTTTTCTTTCCTTTTATAGTTCATTTTATGAAATGTTGTTTATGTAGATTACAGAAGCGAATGACTATTTCCTACGAAACATCGCTGCACAGGGTTGTACTATCTATAACACCTTTGATACCACATTTCCGAAGCAAATCTGACTCTGGGATCCGTCCTATTGCTGCGTGAGTATTCATAGCCGTCTGGATTCAAAACTGGGAAGATATAGATGACCAGGTTCTCCAAGTAACTGACGATTTTTGGGTCATCCTTGCGATTGTTGACGATCTGTAAGCATGTCGAATTCAGTCATATTACCATACCACTTGTCAGTAAGCATGCATAGCAAACTAGTATCAGTTTATAGTTTTCATTGCCATCAGTATTACATAGATCTACTTTTACCGTTAACTATTATAGAGTTTGTTGACAGATCACATTGAATGTATGAATGACTAGATTTAGGTAAAGGTATGTTTTTGGTGAACAAAAAGTAAGTGAGGAAACTGTGCGTAACAATCGAATGAATAATGTCGAATCATCGCATAAGTTGTAGAACAAAAATACGGCATTAATGGAATCTATTTTTTTTACCAACCATGTTAATAAAATACATCCCAGTGTGGATGGCAGCCCATTCGCGAGCGTGAATGCCAGCGTCGATTACAACCACTTTCTTGTATGGTTTATCTTCTCCAAACTGCAAGAATTGAAACCATACTATGAACTCTGTCATATTTATGGTGGGAAAAATTCTCTTTACGACTGGTAAAGTGTTGGGGTCCTTAATATGTCAGTGACAAAGTGGGTAATCGTAGAAAGCAAAAACTATTGTGACCCACATTTTGACTTCATTTAAGTAACAGTGAGCGGTGACAATGGATTGATTATATTATATATTCTCACCTTTATTCCTATAATGCTTCTGCCTTCACTACTAAGACCAATGTTGACCACTTTTGCTAGATCAGGTATGGCTTGCGCGATTTGCTCCATCCATGAGACAAATGCAGAATACGAATGGTATTCACCCATTCTGAGACAAAATTGTCACTTTATGACACACATTTGATTTTTTCAAAAGGCTTCCATACGGCATATGAATAATCAGCGTGAGTATACGGTGAGCGTTCATTCACTCAAACATTTTGTCCTACCTGCGCTAACTTTTCTCTCCATCCCAAGGTTCTTACCTTATTAATGCATTCATTTTATTATAAATTACGTTCTGAATGTTTTCCACCACTACTGGAGACGATTTGACGATGACAATTTTCATGTCTTATTTTATATGCTCCAGTAAAAGGATTCTTTGTTTCTCTATAACGAGGTGTGTAAACCTTCTTAGAGCAAGTAGAAAAGAAAGAGCTCAAAGTTTTGGCAAAGTTTTATTACGTTTTTCGGAAATCATTTTTCGATTTCAACCTGTATTCCAACAGTGGCATATCTCAGTTCGGAATACACTTTACCAATAAAAATAGAAATGATTAGAATCTACACATATTTACCAACAGGACATTAATCATACCTGTATCGCCTGTAGTCCCGTTGAAAGTCGAGTGACTCGAGCGGGCGCAGTAAATCTTCCATTTTTCCCTGTCGCGTGCAAGTGTAGCCCAATGGGTTCTGCTTGCATTAGGCACTCGTTGAGTATCATATCTTTCTTTCCGGATTTTCGTGAGGAACTCTGACCATAGGGTCGGTGGTCTTCCTGCAGCACGTTTGACATCCCGAAGGATCCCGTCACTAACGGCTCTTATCCATTGGTTGTCATTCATACGCATTACGTATTCGGCCCACCTTATCTTCGACTGTTTGGCGTACAGAACTGCATCTTTCATTTTGATCGTTGACGCAGGTCGGAGCTTCGGATCCCTTCCCTTACTTGCATGACACGGGTACTCCTAGCATCGTCCGTTCGACTGCGAGTTTATAAACGCTGAGTGATCTTTCATCCTGCTTACGCAGCGACCAAGTTTCTGACGCATACGTTAGAGCAGGAAGTACCCTTCAGTCGAAAATTTGGGCACAGAGTCGGGTGTTCTTTGTTTTCCTCACTACATCCTTGATCCTCTTGAACGCTCCCCAATCCGCTCGTTTCCTTCTGCTAAGGCGTTCATCATGTTGATTTTCCGACCTAGTTAGACATAACTAGAGCATTTGGAGATATTCATTCTGTTGAGCGTGAATGGAGCACACGAAACAAATCCGTTCCTCACGAACATCGTTTTTGTGAGATTTAGTCGAAGGCAAATCTTTCCACAGTCTTTATCAAAGTCAGCAAGTATTCGTTCCGCCTGGCTAAGGTTTACTGTTATAGGGACGATGAATCAGGTGTTCTGGTTTTATCCTGTCCGAACCTGGTGCTGTTCGATTTTTCAGCGACGAAAAAGCATGTCCGATTTCGGAAACGAGAAGCGGTGTTGCGACATATTCATCCTCCTTAATTTAATATGACGGAAGGTGAACGTGGCTGTCGAAGACATCTGAGTAGTATTCAAGAATTATTTTCTCCATTGCCTTCCTGGACGCTGTAACTGTTCCGTCCGGGCGTCGGTCGTACGATTCCACGCTAGTGTATCAGCTCGAGAGTTTCTGGAGACAGATCTCTCTTGGTGAATTACGAGCTCTCAGCTTTCATAGCGCCAACGTGAAATGTTGAGTGAGCCGATCGTATTCTTTGTCGATGTTGTCGGCATCGGTATCTTCCCAACAGCCGGCTACCTAATTGAATAAATCCCAGTTTATGGTGGTTCTGGGTCTTCGTTTTTTGAATTTAGCGGCTTTTTCTCCTTTCAGCGAGGAATAAAATCTTGCACGAAAAAGGCGGTGGTCTGATCCAGTGTACAATTTTGGGACAACAGCGGCATCGGCTGGGCGAAGCCTTCTATTTACTATGATGTGGTCTACTTCGTTATGGTACTCTCCATTGGGAGACTCCCACGTCCAGCATTGAAGGTGGGGCTTCTCGAATTGGGGATTACCATGGATGTTCTTGGTTGTCGTGATAAACTCAAAGAGCCGCTCACCCTGTTCATTCCATTCTAATTTGTAGGTCCATGGGTGGGTTATTCATTCCAGTTGCAACAAATTCTGGACTTCTGAGGGCATTCAAGTCGTTGAAGGCAGTTTTATCTTTGGCTTTGTTTCCAAAGAATTTCGTGCACAGCAATTTATCGAGATGCTCGAAGAAGTGGTAGTCATTAGGCGAGAAGTTTGGCAAATATTATGGATCAGGCAGTTTCGTTGCGCAGTTCGTTCAACTTCTGTAGCGTCCCTAGTAAAATGAATCGCCATGCATTATCATGAACTAAGATTATTCACTCTCTATTGACCAATGAGAGGCGCAAGCGATGAAATTTTTAGTACATTTGGTTGATCTGCTGGATGAACTTTTCGGCCATAACTGTTTCACCCGAATTCAAGATGTTGCAGTGGAATGCCCCAGCTTAGCACCAACAAACGGTCAACATGACCTTTTTTTGACGCAATTTCGCTCTTGCAACTGTGGCAGTGGTTGGAGGTGCCCTGCAATACACATGAGATCGATCCCCCTGCCACAGGCTCACCAAGCGCTCCATCCCTCCACTGTCGGCAAAGTGGTATCAGACCTGTCTGAGAAGATAGCAGCAGTGGTTCGATACATTGGTAGGCCACTATCAGTAATTGTAATGGCTAAATATACATTCAGTCACCTTTAACGATGCTTAACGATGTCGAATGCTTGGCGTGTCCCTCAGATATTGGTCAACGTCTAGAGCTTTATCCTTTATCTTCTTACAGAGCTTCATCGCTGTCCAAACGCACCCGATCATCGCCCGTTGTCGTACAGAATTTGTTTGTTGTCGCACACCACCATGTGGTCGAGAAAGGGGTCGGTATGGTTGCGTAGGATAAGCGCGACGATACATCGAAACGATGTTTGCTTTACCTTCTTGGATTGTTAAGCTAACTCGGGGTTGATAAAGATGATTATTCGGCTGACGTTTCGACATCTTTTTCATCAGAGCCGATGATCCGAGTTGGTGGTCCGTCCATAGTTCCTCTTCTCGGTTGGTATCTTCGTTGTCATATCGAGTCGCGTCTTCTTCATTGGAGCACTGCTCGAATGAGCCAACATCAGCCAGTAGCGGTCATTTATACAGGACGGTTGTTGTTGATAACGACTATCCGTTGACAATAATTTGCTTTTCTTTGTCATTCGATTCTTACGGCACCCATTTGGCGAGCTTCTTCGGCTATTCAATTTTCTTAACACTTTCATGACGAGTGTTATCAATTTGTATCATTTTCTTTCCGATGGCTTGTTTTGATGCACAAAAGTTTCTGTTATACATCTTGTAGTAAAATGGTAGCCAATCCAATAGAGATGCTAAAGTGCTTCCGCCTCGAAAAACTGGCAGCGCTTGCAGTGTGCAGTATCATTCTTGATAAACAATTCGTTGATTTCTAATTTCCAGTAGCTGTGATGAATTTCAGGTGTTGTTTGGAATGAGAGGGTATCAAAACTAAGAAGTAAACATTCTACCATTCTTTGCAGAACGTATAGAACGTTATTAAATACTGACAGCAGCACGATTGCTTAGCGGATGGAGGGTTTTTTTCTTTATAAACAAGAGATATGGACACCAAAAACACAATAAGAGAAGCGCGGAAGTTCCTTTCAAAACATAGAGAAAAACCGATTTATGGGACGGAAATCGCAACAACAAGTAGTTGGACTACATAGAAACTGCTGGCGGCCGGTTTTACATCCATAGATGTCACAATTACCACAGTGAGAAATTAGGCATCGTCCGCTCCGCAATAAAACCGAAATTACGCGTCGTCGCGAGAGCGTTGAGATGCTCAGAAACAGTTAACTTGCTTACACAGACTTCTGCAAGTTATCGAAGAGTTGTCCATGTATCAGAGTCTTTAATTTATCGTCATGATTAGCAGGACATCCCCGTTCTACAATGTCTTCAAGGGCTAATATGCCGAGGCGAAATTTTCCAAGCTAAGGTTGAAGTGTGCTTACTTGGATACTTGGACGGCCCGTCCTCACTCGTTGTGCGGACATCAGCATAGCCTCCACTTTTCGGAGTTTTGCTGGTTTAGCTGTTGTCATTCTCTGGAGTCCCAAGGTCATCCTGGTCAAAGTCTGCTTTAGGTCGTTATCACGACAAGCAGTCGCCGCCCTTGTGGATCAGAGCGAGTTTTGCCACCATGCGACTAGTTTGATACTAGAGCGGGGGTGGATCATGGTTTACTCTTGGCTGGATTTCCTGATTTGATCTGGGAAACGCCGTACTCCTTCTAGGTTTTGGAGATTTTGTAGGGAGCATGAATCTCCTCGCTGTAGATCGCAGTCCGACATCCAGGAGCCCCTACCAGACACGATGAGGCGGTAAACCGTTGGAAGAAGGTTGAACTATGCGTTCGTTGATACTTTCTTGCTCCCATACCTCAATTTTTCAAGCCGTTTGCGCAGCATATGTCCGAGTTTGAATTCGTAGAAGTATATTTGTCGAAATTGCTATTTTGACATCATAATTTCTAATCTATAATGTTTGTTAAAAGTACCGTTTATATCGTAATTCAACTGCACTTAGGGAAAGTACATAAAATGAGCTTTGCAATAATATGTAATAGTACAGCATTCGAAAGAAAAATTATTGCTAGAAAATAAACCTGAAAAATGAAATTGCAAATCCTACATTAAGTTCTGAAAAACCTAATGTATCCGTCACTTGTATCATCAGGGTGCCTTGTTCGGCTTCCATAGCTGATACATGTGCAAATCATAAGTCAATCCAGTTGTAGCAGAGACAGTGAACCAATCTGAATCCACCTTTGCCTTGGTGGATCTACATAGGTGTCGCTGCACAATGGAGGTTCGTGGGAGAGCTTTTGTTTGAAAACATTCTACGAGCATATTCACGTAGCTAAAATACTTAAGCAGGTAAGCAGGTCCTTGTAAGTTTGGGAAGTTTATTATGTTAACAAGTGTGATATTTGCCAAGAGGTACGGTTACCAACCTTAGTTTACTGGAAAGCTTGCTAGTGTCGTCATGTAAACGCACAAAGTGTTGTTTGCGAGCACTTTCCATGTTCATTCTGATTGATCCCTCTTTTTCGATAAGGAGTCTGAAACATTAATAATTAGGGACGTTAAATTGTCGGCTGTTTCTCGGTATGCACAAATTAATTTGTTCATATAAGTGAAACGAAAACTAGGTAAACTAGTTAAAAAATCTCTGATCATTGTTTAAACAGGTATAGTTGACACTAACGTGAGAAATCTAATGAAGTAACAGTTCCACCAAAAAGAAGTAACTCAATGTGGAAATCCGATTTGTCAAGATTTTCAGTTCTTGCGATAATCTCCTATCGTTTCCAGTAATGAAAAAGGTGAATTGAGTGGAATTCGTTAAGATGTCAATTCTCACTAAAGAGTTGGTGATCATCCTTGGCGAGGTTCACCTGGATTGTGAACGTATGACATGAGTGTGTGATGTTCGTGTCCATCAAGAGAGAAATTTAAAAAACGATAGAAATATTGTCGGCATGCTTGATTTCGAATGAGTCAATAAGCCGTCATGGTTTTGGTGGTAATGTGGCTTTAGTCTTCATGATCTCTAAGGAAAAAAGAAATAAGTTTCCTCGTAAACACAGATCTATTTTTCATGATTTTCATGCTCTTTTTGATGCATGCAAAGCATTTCAAACATTCTGCGATTGATGTAAAGTAGTTCAAGGACAAAAACAATCGAAGTCTTTCATAATCTTTGGAGTAAAGATCACATGTTCAACTGTGAATTCAGTCATTCATTATCGACTTTCTCAGTGATAGAGTGCAATTTCACATCTTCCGTCTTTCACAGTTTGCAGAATATTGACATATGAACCAATATTCTAAATTACTTATAGCTTACGACTTTGAACTTGGAACGTTTTAGTGTGAGTTGAAAACGTTAACGGAAAGGGACAGATTTTTGCTACTTTGTTGTCGATTACCTCTCGTGTGAGAATGAAAGGCGCAAACAGAAATGGCAAGTGTTGTCTAGAGATTAAAGTAGCAACTTAGTCGTCTGGAGCTTCCGAAAACTACCAAGTATTTACATCAGAGTAAAGAAGGCTTGACGCTTTATTCGGCTTTGTTGTTTACGACAGGGTGGTAGCAAATTCCATCAGTAACAGATCTTAACACTGTTACACTTCACAGGAGATGACATGGATTCTGATTTGTTTATCACACGCAAGGTGGTGTGCTATTAGAAGTTTGACCCAAATCCTTCGTATTTCTGTTACTTGTCAATACTGTTAATACTTTAACCTTCTTTTCCACCGAGTAATAAAAAGTATTCTAACATAAAGTACGTCCAGGCTCTGAGGAAGACGAAATCGCCGAAACGTCAGCCATCAATCAATAACATCAAAAACAACGACAACGAAGATCTGTACCAACCTCGCGTCAGTTTAAGAAGATCAGTTTATAAGATCACATAGATAAATATGTTACTTGTAAGTTGTGGAAATGCATTCACAATGTTGAACTGAGGACTGCGCTACTAGTGCTTATGGACCAAAAATTCGTCTTATTTAAGAATTAGAGTGTACAGTTGGTTGCTTTCCCACCATCGTAAAAGCAATACTCTTTCAGCAGAGCATTTTCACCGGTGTTGTTCAATACTGTGAACAGTATCAATATTATAGATATCAACATAGTCGTTCAACTGAATCATGGAAACTTTCTTTTTGTTTTGATGACGACATTGTCACGATTGCTGGTAGAAATTAGAGACTTAGGAGTGCGGTAAAAATCCTTCCTTGGTAAAAAAGGCCACTGGCAAACTTAGTGATGCGGGTTGTTTATTCCACTCAGCATTTCTTCCTCTGTTATATTATCAGCCGATATGTCAGTTGATATTTTAGCCGTGATAACACCCTGTACACCACTCAAAAAGCGATTAAGTGATTTCTTCTAAATACTCAAGCTTGGAATCCGACTTCAGTCTGTCCACTCGACAAATGTCCCCGTATTCGAGCTCTACTGGAATTAGTGGGAAGCCGAGCAGTCAAGAAGGCTGTGCAGGAATTAGTGAGATTCCTGGCAACAAACCAGAGCAGTCCACTTAAAATTCACTAAAATTGAAAAATTTTTACAAGGGATGAGCTGCAAAGTCAGCGTAGATCTTTTCACACAGGTGTGATGCGAGTTCACTTTCTGCAGGGACAACACGGCAGTGAAAACTAGCAATGCAAACATTTGTGAAGTACACTGACAAACACGCCACAAAGGCATCTTATTTATGTCTCAGAATTGGGCGATCCTTTCACGTGTTGGTCGAAAACACTGTGATTCTTACGAGTTGTTCATTGTTTCAGTTTTTAGATGAATTAGTGGGTCATAACTTATTGTTGTACTCTTTCTCTAGCCTACAAATTTTTGTCTAGTATAGTAATGTAAAACCGAAAAAAGCGTTCTTATTCAGATCCTGAACGGCGATATGGAATGGATAGCCATGTTCTTTGAGAAATTTCTCAAATTTTGATGCAAATGATGGTGAAACCATGACGTCCACAGTGTTGTTGACAACACTCGGTGCATGCCAAAAGTCGACTTCCTTAAATAGAAGGTAATTTTCAAAACAAAATGTTCAGAAACGAATTTCTTTATGGTGAAAGCCTTACTCCAGTTTTTGCGGTTTCGAATAATTCTATCATCCTTTTCAGTTGATTGTTATTAGTAGGAACAACGCGGAACACCTTGAACGGCCTGAAATTTGTTGACGTAATCAGGTCGGTCTTGCCCTATTCACAATATAAATAGCACCAAGTTTTAGCTAGATTATACCAAGACTTTAACATTTTGTGGACCATTTAATCGAAGCAAAGATCTCAGGCAAAATAACCTGGTTGCAAAAGTCATGTACCAAATACTACCAACAAATGTTGTTATACAGGTTTTTCTAAAACCAGAGTAACTTCAGATTTCCGTTTTGATTATTATCAGTAATAACATTTGCTTTTGTATGATTGCATCCGAGTCCGAAATCTGTTAAGAAATTGTTAATATGGTTACTGAGCATAAAGTTCTTACCCATCATTATTCCCATCTATATCCGCGGACACTGCATTGTAGTACAAATATGTGCACGTGATCCATACTAACATCTAAAATCAGCGAGATGCGAAAAAGTGCTTGTGGAGTGAAGAAAAGTTCGATGCCGATTACATATAAAATGAAACTGTATACCAAAAAGTTGGACTACACATATAAAGTCTTGTTAGTGCATTATATAAGTGGAAGGTCTACACAGATTTCTTGTGTCTTTTCATGTATAAAGCTGTCATTTAGACGATTTAGTGGACTTCTTTTATTCCTTTCTTCCCTCATTTTTCTTCAGTTTGTTATGGTTATATTAGTTATTAGGTAATTCTTGATTAAAAATACTAGGAATTAGAATAAGGTAAGTTATCATGGCATATTCAATGAGTTAACAAATTTCTTTCACTTTTTCCCAGTAGCGACTGAACGTTTTAATGTCCCACTTATATAACTATGAGTGAGTTGTTTTTTTCTAAAAGATAATATAGAGCATCAGAAAGAAGCGTTTCAAGCTGATTCAAGATTTGTGGTTGCAACTGTCAAATGCTCGAAGGCTTCAAGAAGCCCCAAGGATGAAACTATTAGCCTTTACAGTCTGGATATATATATTGGTGCCCCATGAATTTAATTGGTGCCAAATATACAAATGGGTTCCAAATTCAGTTTTTCGTATGAAAAAGGTGTGGGATAACATCTGTTGATTCAGAAAATTGTAATTATAGACGAGTATAGAAAGACTGTAAAGGTTTTATTCTTAAGACAAAGAGAAAAAGATAATAACGGGTTATATCTAATGCGTTTAGAAAAAGAGAAATCTACACGGATCAGGAATGAAAGGAGATAAACACAAATCATGCCGTTGATATCGAGTAAAACCAAAGGAAATATTTTTATCGTGTAGAAACGGAGTGAGACTTCTGCTAGAACTTAGTGACGCAGTGGTTCTTATGCTATTCAGGCTATTAGTTGCAACCTATACCAGCTTGCGTAAAACAACCACAAGCAATGACTTATTCAAACAGAAGAACAGAAGTAGAAAGAATGACTTATTCAGATCGCTAGACGGCTTTTCGGATGCTATCGTCATCATCGATAAAGAATGAGACCGGCTTATTCAACATCTTCATGTAGTGCTATGAAAACCGAGAGTTGGTTAATTCTCCACGAGACACGTCTTACTAGAACCGTTCGTGTAAACACGCCAACATAGGATTGTTTGAGCCGCTGGCCAGTTTTGCAGAAAGACGATAAAAGAAGGTGTTAGGGGGAGAGAACAGCAGGAGTAATGGCTGAAGCCGCAAAGGCTAGGAACAGCATACGCAACGTCGACCAGTCTATTGGACTAAAATGTGAAGAATTACTAAAAGAAGTTGGAAGCAGAATAAAACACTAAATAACACAATTTTACAGAAAAATATAGACGGCTTGTCATGATTACGAAAAACGTAAAAGGAAGGCTTATCTAGTGCAAAAAAGTGTAAAGAGCATGAACGAAACTCAGCGAGTGTTCCTAACTGGGACACAGATTTATTTTATTCATACAGATTCGCGGACAAGAAGGAATCTCAGGAATCGTGAGCTGGTCCTAGATAGCCTATAGCTTCGAGTACAGGTCGAACGAAGATGATGAGTAGTTGGTTACGAATGGTAGAAATAACACCACTAACCAATTTTATTCGGTTAGAACAAAGACAAGATTAACTAGACAACCGAATTTAGTGGTATTATAAACAGCTAACTTTTTCCGATTACATGGTTCATAATGGCTGTTCTGCTGCCACTATAAAAATGTGGTGACGAGTTCTGCGCAGAATTGGTGCAGATCGATCGATTTGCTCTAGGATGGATAACACGGTGTTCAGGCTTTCGATCATGAATGTGGAGCACATATGTCGCCATCATGTCTAATAAAGGATAAAACCAGAGAGAAGGACAACGATGAACTCGCGATACTGGAGTCCAGACGAGAGTAAACTACCAGTGGTGAACTGAGGCTTTCGTGTTTCATTGAGAAATTCGACATAGAATTAGGGATGACTTCTACAGATATGACTCGGCCATCTAATACCAGCACGTAACAACAAATAGTGACTCAAAAGACCGACTTTCTATAAACATCGGCATAGATAGTCGATACATTTATTTATATGATCTTATGAACTGAACTTAAGCTGTTGCGAAGTTGGTATAGGTCTTTTCCGAGTCCTACTCGTAACATCGCGGCTCTGAGTAAGGCGAAATTGCAGAGAAACGTCAGCCATCGACCTAACGAGAACAACAGCAACAACAACAACAACGATAAAGGCAACGAACAGTTATATCAACCTCGCATCAGCTAAGGAAGATCAGCTTGTAAGATCATATAAAAAAATATAAGCAACAGTGGTTTTTTCGATAATGACAATGCTCGACAACGTAGAAACTAGACACTCATAGAGACTTTGCTGTCAAACTCCGAGGATATTCCTTAATTAAAATTTTCTACTCCTAAACTTCTTAAAATTCAAGCTACTCAAAAAATTAGAGCGAAATCACAAATCTTGGTGCATACATTGGTGATTCATTCGGAGACATAACTGAAATATGCCGAATCTCACGCGATAGATCGCACGAGGTCCAAATCTCGGCGACAAAAAATGACCGCAAAACTATTCATCGCCTACGAAACGTGTGGTTAGTGAGTGTTTTACGATTCCAGTGACTTTTATTTCAATCAGTAAGGCTCCCTTTGGTTTGATTTATGTTCGTTTAAAGGTGGGATCCGAATATTTTAGGAAGCGTACGCATTGGAACCAACTGGTGTTGGTCATTATGTAATGAACTACCGTCTCACTTACTAGCCACATGTGAGGCCTTATCGTGCAAGAGACATTATCACTTCATCATCGCTAATGACCTTATCATCGATAGACAACGACAAACCTTTAATGTTGGCTATGAAATGAGTACTATTTCATCTTATACGTTATTATCGAGGGAAGCAGAGTGCTAGACATGTCCTTCAATGGCACGTCTACGACCGCTGGTTCGAATCCACACGGTTTAAAGCAAAGTTGAGAAATTGGTAACAGACTTGTTCGGGGAGAATTCCCTCCGTTCCACATGGAATGACGACTGCTTGGTGTAAAAACCTGGGCAAACCCCATAACAACATTTCCAGGATTCGGTGGAGAATCGATTTAACCGATATTTGATAGCATTCATGGAAAAGACCGAGAATCTTCAGCCTACACAAAATTCTGTAAATCTTTGTGGATAATCGATACGAGGAAAAGATTCGAATGAAAGAATTACTGGGATAGGTAGAATGTATGATGTCGAGTCATGAAGCAGTAGTAATAAAGGAAATATGCAATCATAAATAGGATAAAAGTGCTGTGAAGTAATGACATGTCGAGAGCCGGTGATGTAGTTGTCCTACAATTGACAAACCGTCGTTGAAGGTCGAAAACCCGTTCAGCGAAAAGGATGGTGGGTATCACACACCATATACTTACACCGAAGAACCGCTTTGTTACAGCACATAACATTCTCTGGGTTTGTATGCGTGTTTACCTTTCACTTTCTACATCACTACATCTTTGTTCTTACAAAAAAGCTAGTCAGTACGACTGAAAACTGCTTTATAAATTTGATATAGATGGACGAGTGGTACCATATAGAGAACTTTTTTCTAGCTATGATCTCTTCATGAGCAGCCCAGTTGATTTATAACGATCAGAAGTCCAAGAAACAAAAAATTAAGAAAAATTGACGAATCCAAGAGGAATCTAGTTACTTCGTCAACCTTGGGAAAACCATAACCAACTAAATGAATAGCTTAAGTGATATTTACATACGACTCCCTGTATAACACTTCTGAACTCTTAGTTATTTTCCAAGGATTTGAAGGATCGCGGAAGTAGTTGTAAGATTTGTGTTTGACATAACTAGTATACATTGAAGAACAACAGCTTTCGATAAGTAGCTAAAAGAACGGTTCAAAAATTAATAATTTGAAGATGGTCAAGTTCAGGTTCGGGGTTCGACTTTTCAGCGGATTACTTCGTAAAAACGTACTCACCACAAACGGATACCCAGTTGAACAAATATTTCAGACAAAGTTCTATAATGAACAAAAACAATGTGTTTTTGAAAAAAAAAGTCTCGCAACACTCTTCCTTTGCTCTCAGATGTACAGGGACGAGATTCCGGTTTCACCGAGAGAATAGAGAAATTTATTCTAGCGTCGAGTGATCAACATATATCTGACGTCGATCTCTAAAGTTTGCTGTTTCAGCGAGAACTTGAGATAATGAAGTTCACATTATTGTTTCACTGTAAATCATCCAAATAAGGAATAAAAAAGATGAACCGTTCGGTGTTGACCAACCCTTAAACGATGCGTCATGCATTCAGATCTCTTGTTTTTATCTTCGACGACAAGCCTGAGATCAAATTTCCAAGCGAGGAATGGCTGAAACGTTGGCGGGTCCGTGACGTGGGATCAAACCAGTGACCGACTCACCGTGTACTGCAGTACACCTCTGACTACTGCGGTGCAAGGGTTCCGATGAATGTATTAGAGCTGCAAAATAAGTACAGTCAGCAGTACTGACCGTTAATTCTGTTATTCATAATGTCATTCTTATTTAATTAATGGCTTTTGTAGGTAAATTCGTATTTTTCACAGGTCTTATAATACGTATTGCAGTAAAATGATAACTCTGTAATTTATGCAGTAGACAGAAAAACACAGATAAAGTTAAAAGCATACAGCTATCGGCATTGATCAATCCGTGAGGGATGCGCCATGCACTCGACTTGATTAAGCATCGTTTGCAGGTAATCTAATGCATATCTGGCATTTTACAATGACACGCGGTGGCATACAGATCTGTCGAGTCGGTGCTGCTGTCCTTCCAGACAGTTCTGGTACCAATTTGCCCACTCCGGAGAGATAAAAGGCTTGGTATGCCCTGGGCGCCGAGATCGATCCCGTGTGTGTGCTGCAGGGCGCCTCCGATCACTGCGCCACAAGTCTTATAATACGTACTACAGAAAAATGACAACTCTGTAATTTATG